ATCAATAAAATATATTAAAAAAATATATATACACGAATTTCCTAGCTCTGTCCAACTAAAAGAGCTTGGAAAGTGTGAAAAAGAGATGGCTTACCATATACAAAGGAACAAGCAAGTAAGCAACATTATCATTGACTATGATATCTGTGTGATAAGATTACAAGTTTTTTCTAAAATTTTTTTGTGCTTGTATTTCATCTTTCCCCAAAATACTGAAATTTAATCATGTCTTCCAATAGCAATGCTCGTACTATTTCAAAATGGAAATCATATTACCCAAGAAGCTATTACAACCAAAGACTGAGCGAATCAAAATAAACTACTGGTTATAAAGACCTTCTCATTAAGTCATATGAAAAAGGATACTTACTCTTCCTTAAGTCTCTTTTGAAGCTCATTTTTTGAAAGTTTATTTTCACTGGCATTTTTCATCATATCTTTCCGAAAACGATTGTTCCTCATGTCAACCCTATAAAAAACAGAACAGCATGGTTTAACTGACTTTTAAAGAACTACTATAAAAAACAACTGTTGTCTTCAGTAGTTTGAGAAAACTAATTTAATTGAACAATATGTCAAAACTTGTAAGATATGGAACATCTGAGATGCACATCCTCTATTTTCCCCAAAACAAACAAAAAGAAGTCTCCAACATTTTACACTATACAATTTACCATTTGAAGCGCTAATATTTCAAATACATAATGACTTTAGACACAGCTTATGCCATTCACCTAAATAAAACCCAGGTAAAATAAAAAATTAAATTATTTTTTTTAAAAAACTTAAAATCCTATGAAGGAAAAATATAGGCACCCATTTATCTCTGATGGACTTTTTACTTTTTAACAACAACAAAAAAAAGGGAAAAGATTCCTAGACTTGACCATATAAAAACTTAAATATCCTATCAGATATTTTAAAAAGCATTAAAAGGCAAACAGAAAGCTCAAAGAAAAACCTACAATAAATTTGACATATAAAAGTTGGAAATTCTCAACGTGTAAGGAGCTGATATATCAAGATCATTAAGAAACAGTCTCATCTGCCATTTGTGACGTGAATGAACCTGGAGACATTATGCGAAGTCAGGGGTCCTCAAACTTTTTAAACAGGGGGCCAGTTCACTGTCCCTCAGACCGTTGGAGGGCCGGACTATAGTTTAAAAAAAAACTATGAACAAATTCCTATGCACACAGCGGCGGCAAAAACACCCGGCGGGCGGGACGGATAAATGTTTTCAGCGGGCCGCAGTATGAGGACCCCTGTGCTAAGTGAAATAAGACAGACAGAGCCTGGCGGTGTTGCTCAGTGGTTGAGTGTCGACCTATGAACCAGAACATCACATCTGGAGTCCCAGACAGGGCAAATGCCTGGGCCGGGGGCTCAATTCCCAGTGTGAGGCATGCAGGAGGCAGCAGATCAATAATTCTCTCTTGACGTTTCTCTCTCTCTCCCCCTCTCCCTTCCTCTCTGAAAGCAATAAAAATATATTTAGAGGGGAAAAACAGACCAAAAAAAAAAATACTGCATGATCTCTTTGTATGTGGAATCTAAAAGGCAGACCACATAGAAGCAGAAAGTGAATGGTAGTTACCAGGGATGGGGAGGTGAGGAAAATGGGAGAGATGTTGGTCAAAACTGCAATTATATAGAATGAATAAGTCTAGAGAGCAAATGTACAGCATAATGACTACACTTAATATTACTGTGTTGTATAGTGGAAATTTACTAAGAGAGTAGACTTCAGGGACTCTCACCACACACACAAAAAATGGAAACTATATGAGAAGGATATGTTACTTAGCTTGACTAGTAATCATTTTACTACAAAATATCATGCTGTACCCTTAAATACATATAATTTCTACTAAATAAAGTCTCTACAGTAAACAAATAAAGACATAATAGAGGACATTTTAAGAAACACCAATGAAAAATGTTTTCTCAGCACTAAGTATATATTTTCCACCCATTAAACCCCCAAAGTCTGAAAAAAGGATTGCTTGTAAGAATGAAATGCAATGGGCACCTTTTAATGAGATGATAAATTGGTAGGACCTCATGCTCAGTCTAACAGTGTTCATTCATCAAGAGCCTTAAAAAATGCCTGTGCTCGTTAAGTAATTCTATCATAATCTTTCTTAAATAATTAGAAAAGTGAGTCAATGTTTATGCTCAAATGTGTATCTCAACTTAATTTTTTTAAAGGGGGAAAAAAAACTATCCATCCATTAACAGCTATGGAAATTACGGTAAATTCATACAATGGACTATAATACAACCCTTTTTAAATGTTTACGAAGGTATTTCTTTTTCACGTGGGGAAAAATACTTGTGTCATTTCATCTACTAAAGTACATATTGTGCATACAGATATTTTAGTCTTTTCTCAGTTTTAGGCATTGTGCTAAGAGCTCTACATATTCTACTTCATTAAACCTCAAGAGCCTTTTGATATAGTTACTATCATTATCTCCTTTTTACAAAGGAGAAAAGGTAGTTCCAAACTTGCCCAATGATCAGTTAGGAACTGGCCAAATTAGGAGGCAAAATCAGGTCTAGACAACACAGAAGAGAAGAGAAAGGGAGGGTAGTACACCAACACGTTAACCTCGGTGGCAAGATTATGAATGACCTTTTCTCTCCTATACTTTCCAATATTTTTCAAATCTTCACATAATCACATATTCGTAAAAAGAACTTTTTTCAAACCTGCGATATAACTTTTAAAGTATTCAGAGAGATTCCGGAAGAAAACATTTGGCAACTTACATTTCCTCATCTTCATCTTCTTCATCCACCCAAACTGGCTTCTTCTGAGGTGGAAAATTATCTTTTGCTTCATTCTCCACTTCTGAGTCACCTGAGTCTTCCTGTACTTGAGCCTAGAGAAGAAAAAACGCCCTCAAGCGCTAAGTTTTTCATGTCCCACGGTCACAGACACGTAAACCGTGGAAGTTAGATGGTTTGTAGAATGTTCTTTTACAGCCCTCTGATAAAATAGTAAGACAGAATGCTATCACAGCAAAGGCTGGAGGGAAAAATAGAAAATGAGGAAATTAGAGAATGGACACTGGACAGGCGGGGTGAGATGGAACAGTCAAGGAGAGAACATCAACATGCTCGAAGGAAAAGACCAAGCAAGACAAGAACAACAAAAAAGGTAAATTGACAGATGAAGAAAGGAGCAGGAAAAACCCCAGAACGACAGAAATTACGGGACCAGAGGCGGGCTAACATCAAAGATAAAATCACATGACAGAATGTCATAGTTCGCCTTTCATATCCTTAGACATGCCTCTTCTCCACTTCTCCTGTCATTCCTGACCCCATCCCCTTTTCAGAAATGCTATACTGCACTATCAAGTCTAAATCTAGACCACACACTATCTGAAGTGAGCTTGAGCTTTCCCCAAACCACAGGGTAGAAATAAACAAATCATTCCTACTGGCTGCTACCCACCTAGGACCCTTCAAAGCCCAATAAATCCCACCTCACATGGGCAGTTTCTTTTCCTGACTAGGTAAGAGTCACACGGTTCAGCATTTTTCCAATAGTAGTTCCGTATCTCCCTACTAGATGAGGCACCCAAAGGGGTTCCTGGCCATCAGCTGTTACTTGCTGGGTCCACGCTCATTTAGCAAACCGCCATCATCAGTGAGGTCCTGCGTGGCCACCCTTCTCTCCGCACACTTATCTCCCTTTTCCCGAACGATTTTTTTTATCTCTCTTCAGCACTTGTCATTGAGAATTTTACAGTACTTCTCTCCTTTATCTTATGCCTCTGCCACAATACATAAGCTCCAGGAGGGCAGCCAATGAAAACTGATATTTTTCCCCATTGTTGTTTCTGCTCCGGTGCCCAGAACAATGCCTGGGGCTCCTTATCTTCGAATAAAAAGCCAAATATATAATAAAAGATGATTTGTGTGTGTGCAAAAACAGGATTTTCATTGCTAGGAAAAAATACCTGGCACCTAACAGGCTCCCAAATATTTGCTGAACAGACGAATACGTGATCATTCTCAACGTTGGAGAGAAAATCATTTGGAGAAATGTTAACACGCACATTCCCAGGCCCGTGCCCACGAATTCTAATTCCACAAACCAAGTGGAACTCCTGAATCACCGCCAGGTACGGGGGCAGGCGATCGGACGACCCCGAGGGAGGAGCACAGAGTAGGAGGACGCGCGGGGCTGAACCACGAAAGATGCTCCCGACTACAGTCCGCCAAACACATAGGTGTTGCGCGCCTGCTGGGTACCAGGCGCAGCAGCTCCCACGCCGGCGGGGAAGGCGCGGTCTCCACCCTCCCGAGACCTTCCGCCAGGCCCCCCTCGGCGCCCGCGTTCTCCCGCTCCCTCCCACCTGGGTCTCCCCGGCGCCGCAGGTCGCCCAGGCTCCGCCTCCGGAGGTTCGCCGCCCACCGCGCGCCCCGCCCGAGCGCGCCCAGCCCGCCGCGCGCCGCGGCCTCTCTCACCCGCGGGCCTCGCAAACGCCGCAGCAGCGCGTCCTCGTTGTCCGCGGCGTCGCCGAAAACCAGCTCCTCCAGGCACCGCTCCACGGCCGGCTTGTCCTCCTCCAGCGTCAGGCGGTGCAGCTCCCGGAGCCGGCTCTCCTCCGCCGCCGCGATCGTGATCGCAGCGGCCGCTGCTGTCGGCCCGGCCGGCGGTTTCCGCTGGGATGAATAGGCAGCCTTTCGGGGCGGCCCGCCCGGCCCCGCTCCGGCTTTCCTGTCCGGCTTCATTCGGATCTTCCGGTTCGGCCTCGACCCGGTTCTCCGCTCCGGTTTCGTTCGGCTCCTCCGTTCGGGTGGCATCGTTGGCTTGGAGAAGAAACGCAGGCGCTCACGTGGAGCCTCAGTGCGCGTGCGCCGAGGCGCGGAGCGGTCCGCGGCGGCCGAGGCCCCCGGGGGCCGGAAGGAGCATGCGCAGCCGGCTAGCACGTGACCACCACTCTCGCCCGACGTAACGCCCACTCCCCGCACGAGCCCCTCCCGTGTGGGAGTTCCTCGGGGAGGAACAATCTTCCGGGTGGAGGGGGAGGCGGCGTGACTGGAGTGGAAAATTTTTTTCCGACACAACTTAGCAGCGGCCACTGATTGAAAGGAGCACGAGGAAGCCAGAGTGTGAACTCAGATGACGGCATGAAACGTTTCCTCTTCCTCCTGACTTTTTAGCCGCGCCACTTAACGTCAGCCCCTACTGTATTTTCCACCCCTCCGTCTTGGTACGGCCCTTGGAGTACGGAGCCTGCCGAGGGTCCCACGCTGGACGCGAGCGAGGAGGGTATGTAGGGAAGTGGGCCAATCGGGGCGCGGGTCACGGCGCAGGCGCGCTGGGGAGGGAGGGCTATGCTAATGTTGTTGATATCCTGGGGCCACCCTAGTTAAAGGGGGGAAATCCGGGGGCTGCCGCAGCCGCCGCGGGTCTGGGCCCAGCCGGGGCACCCCTGGAGTCACCGTTGCCCCGGGGAGAGGTGCCTGCCCCCCAGCTCGGGGAGGGGGCGCCGCGGGCCTGGGGAACACGGACCACCCCGACCCATGAGGCCCTGATGGAAAACACAAAGGATCTGGTGAGAGCCGAGCGCGGCAGCCGCTTTGTGTGCCAGGCGAGGGGGGGACGCCTGCAGCTCCCCGACCCCAGGAGCCCCCGCAGCTGTTTGACCCCGCTCCCAGGCCTGCTCCTCCATCCCACGCCCCCGGAGCTCCCCTCCCCCTCCCGGCCGTTAAACGATTCGGGGGGGTTCCCCTCCCCCCACCTCCCCAGCCCCGGATCCGTTGGGGTTCTCTCTCTCTGCGCTCTCTCTGCACTCTCTGGAAGAAAACATTGAGGAGAAAGTTTTCTCTGCGTCCCGTCCCCTCCCCCTTCGGCTCCGGCTGGTGGAGGGGGGAGGCGAGATACGTGACTTCCACTTTGTTGAGCCGCCCCGGGTGGGCGAGAGGCGTCCTCGCTTCCCCGAGGGGGGCCGTGGCGGCGGGGCTGCGCCCGGGACGGAGCCTCCCGCCGCCTCGGGGCCGGTGCCGCGAGGCGTTTTGCACGTGGAGGTGGATGTTGAAAGGGGGCGGGGTGGGCACGTGTGGGAGGGCGAGGTGGGAGTGGTGTCGGGGAAGCAGCCGCCCCGGCTGCGTTCGTTTAAAATAAAAAGGGTTCTGGGTGGTGGGCTGGCCTCTAGGACCCTTGCGTTCTCTTTTGTGAAATGAAAATCCTCACGTTTCAGAGTCGGGAGGGACGTTAGAGGTCACCCCAAGCCGCCGCCCCCTCTGCAGCCTCTGACAAGTGGTAGGTAGTCCGCCCTCGGCTTCAGCCCCTGCACACACGGTCCCTGCTGCCCAGGAAAGCCCGCTCCGGGTTTGTGTGTGTGTTTTTTCAGTAGCTCTACTTATTTTCCTGCCCTTAACAGACCCTAGAGCCTCATGCATGTCCTTGTTAGGTTGCTCCCTTTTTTTACTTCTCAAATTTCCTCTCACATCCTCCTCACCCACCGCTCCCTGGCCTGTGTTTGTGCTCCAGGAAGCAGCGGCAGGGAGGTGGAGAGAGGAGGGTGGGGGCATGGGGAGGGCCCGCTGAAGAGTTTTGCTGGGTCGGTTTCAAAGGTGCTGGTCTGTCTGTCCGAGAATCATGGGTGCTTTTCTATGGGAAGCTTGGGGATTGCGGCCTGGGCGGTTCGGGCTGTTGTCCCTCAATAGCGCATCCTTTTGAAGTTAGAAAGTTCAGCATCATCTGCATGAGCACCTTGGCTTTGTTACCTAAACCGCTTCCCTTAAGGATGCCTGAAATTGCCTCCTGGGGGCAGGAGGGGAGCTGTCAAGCTCCTCCTGGCGGAGGGATGATCGGAAGACCCGCATCCCTCGCCCTTGTTGGCCTGTGTGTTCCTTTCCAGCTGGCCTTGCTTCTCAGGGCCCCTCCTACACAACGCTTTCATGGCCCTCTCTGTTTCCCCCCCAACTCTTTGATGAGATTTGAGACTTTGGCAACACTCTGATATTTGCTTCGAGTTTGCCGTGTGCTTCATGCTCCTTGCAGTGTCAGGAGCCAGCATTGAGCACTTGCCAGTAGAGAGTTCAGTTCCTACTATGGCCTGTCCCTGGGCCTTTTTCTAATGTTCGCCTGCACTTGGTGAGCTATATGCTGCCACCAAAAGTAGTTTTGTTGGCTTCAGAATCTTCCTAATATGGTGAAGTGGGAGTTAAGACATAACAGATAAACTGTAGAAGTCATGAATCTGGTCTAAAAGCCATCTTAAACTCCCAGGCCCGTTTAAAATGTTAGAACACCGTGTTTTCTCTCCCCTTTTTAAAATGACTTCGAGACTGTTGCTCTGCTCTCGTGTGCTTAGACTGTGTGGTGTTTTTTTCATGTGTTTACCTCAACACCAAAGAGTGTTTAGAAAGAAAATAGCTGTCTTTTTCACCACCCCCTCGGAATAACAAATTGCTTCTATTTATATAGAACCCCAACCCAGGCTTCTGGATGCCTTGTAAATTATGGCAAAAACGGTCTTAAATAAGTATGGGTTCATAAGTATCTTATTTGGGTCATGTTTTTTAACCATTTAATTTTTAATTTTCTACAAACTTTCACATACAGTATTTCTAAATTTAGTCACTGGAATTTAACATGGCAATAAATACTGGATACGAAAAAAAATTAATAGAGTTGTATAATTCTGTCTTTAAAGTTTCAGACACAGTAATATGGAGCTCCAAGTTATTTCCTGCTTGCTTTAAACATGAACTGTCATGACTTAAGTTGACTAACTTTGGAGACATTTGCATTCTAACCATACTAGACAGGAACAACTGGTTTTATTTTAAAGGAGACATTGCTGTATTTTATGGCTGGTTATATGTTCACTTAATTAGTGCCCAAACCTTCCTGGATGTTCAGGTGCTTCTAGTTCCTCAGTTACTTTGGAAGCTAAAACAATTAAACTTGTTAAAACATGACCTAGTAGTCAAAAGGTAAAATTATGCTTAGAAGTGAAAACAATGTTTTAAGGCATAAATACTAAACCACTGAATTACTATAAGCCACAAGAGTCAGTGGTTTGAGTGGCCACATTCTAAAATTAGACAAGTTTTTTGGTTGCCACTTGTTTCTCTTTCATCTTTAAACTGTTTGCTAAATAAGATTTAACCATTTCACATTTATAATTTAAAGGTAAGTCGTGAAATGTATCATTAGTTAAAGATAAAAGCATTATGACACTAGCAGAGGAAAGACTTAAAATAGTTCAAACAAGCTAGGATATGCCTCCTAACACTAGGATATTCTTAACTAAGATTACTTTTAATTTAATACAGTAATTGCAGCTGGTTTAGATTTAATTTTGTGATTTTTTTTTTTTAAAAAAAATGAACCTTTTATTTAGAACTTTTCCCCCACAAATTTAGAGTTTTCTTGCTTTGCTGGATCCACAAGAGTGGAAAGAAAATAATTATATTTGAATAAATCCTGAATTTGAGGTGAGAAGAAATTATATAATAAGAGGGGAATTGGCAGAGTAGGTTAAAATTTCATTTCTGCCACTAACTAGCTTCATGTGCCTGTTTTCTTATCCTCACAGTTAAAGGGTTGGTGTAGAACCCCCATCATCCCATAGAACTTTCTGCAGTAATGGAAATGCCCTATATCGGTGCTGTCCAGTGTAGTAGTCACTAGCCACATGTGGCTATTGAGCACTTAGGGTAGGTAATGCAACTGAGGAACCCGATTGTTTTTTTCCCAGCTTCATTGATGTGATCCGTGTACATTTAAATAGCTGCATCTATGCCATATTGGACATATAGATATGCAACAGTATTTCCCAAGCTCAGCTAATCACTAGAATCATCTCTTACTGTAGATTTCTTGTAAAAAACAAAACCTCTCTCCTGGACGTTATCATTCAGTAGGCTTGTAGTGGGGTTATTGATAACTTAGCATAGTAGAAATGAGCTCTGGGCAGAGTTGGCAAACTGGCCTGGTTTTAGCTCTGCCACCTCCTGCCCTGTGATCTTAGGCCAGTTCCCTAATCTCTTGAGCTTCATTTTTCTCATCTAAAATATGGGCTGAAATCTGCCTCCCTCCCTCCTAAGGTTTCTGTAAATTTCTAATCAGATGTGACCATTGTATAAGAAAATGTAAGCTGCTATAAATGATAATTTAAGTGTTATCTTTCCAGGATTCCTTTTTCTTTGTCCCTTTTCACTGTGTTACCCAATTCCTACTTCATTCTTAAAGAACCGGTTGTATACAGTATTTCTTAATTAATACAGTAATTTCTTGTCTTCCCCACTATTTGGCCATAGTTTTGCCGTCTAGTCCTAGGACATACTAAACCTAACACTTTTTTGTATTTCTGGTGCTTAGCATAATGATTTGTATCTATTGCTCAATAAGTATTGGTTAATACCACCTACTACTTTAATTTTAGGTTTCAAAACTTTAGTTAGTTTCAGATTATTTTATACACCAGAAAAATAACCTCCTGTGTCCCCATAGGTGTTTAACCTTTCTTTTTATCTTCCTTTTTTATTTTTTTTAGAGAGAGAGAGGAAAAGGGAGGGAGGGAGGGAAACAAACATCGATGTGAAAACAAGAAACATCGATCTGTTGCCTCCTGTATTCGCCCCGATCCAGGATTGAACCCGCCAACCTGGTTATGTGCCCTGACCGGGAATCAAACAGGTGACCCTTTGGTGCACAGGACAATGCTCAACCAACTGAGCCAGGGTGATTGTTTCATTACTAATTACCCATAGTTATTGCTGCTTAGTGATTATATGTCTTTTGAGCAACTAGCTCCAAATATGTTTTTAAAAGATAAGCACTAAGAGAATACCATTAGTTTACATTAGTATTTTTAGGTTGTATCTAGCCAGCATGATGCTGAATAACCTGTTTAACTTGTTTTCGCTATATTAACATACTAATAAATGATATCGTTCGATCACTCAGACTGCATTTGCACTACAGCTTTAGTATGAATTCTGTCTTTTGGGTAAATTGATAGCTAATAATGATCTTAAAGACCCTCTAGGCTACTATGTTTCAGACTTAATTTTGACATGGTTGTCTTATTTTTAATAGCTTTTCAGGTTCATACTTAAGGATTCATAGCTTTCTTCTGAAGAACTGAAAGTCCATTCATGTGAATTATTTATTTTATCATACATCCTTTCTGTGTGGTAAGTGGTATTTTCCTTATTTTGAAGAGACGGAAACTGAGACCCAAGTTATTGTTAATATCCAAAGTCATAAGTGATAGAACCGGAAACCAAAGAAGTAGAACTTTGTATTTCTTATAGATCAAGGAGTAGCTTCCTTTTGCTCACTGTTACTTTAAATCTTAGAGTATAGTTATGTAATATATTGACCTCTCCTGTCATTCCCTGGGCACTTTTCACTTTCTCTAGGTAGGTTATTCAGGATATTAATTTCCATTTCCTCCTGATTATATCATTAACCTGAGTTTATTTCACATTGAACTTGTGGGAAACAAAAACTCAATAATCCCAAACCCTTACCATTTATTTTCCTACTAATAGTAAGCTCAGAAAGAATGAAGACAGATCTGCTTAGGCTGGTGAATTGTATCACTATGCTGGACTGTGCTTTTCATCTTATGGTGGAATGGGGAAGAGACCATAAGAGCTAAATAGCTCTTTAACCTTCTACTGAGTCCAGTCATTATAGCATATCTAGTAATTTTTATTTTGAATTTTGTAAGTTCCCCCATAAAATTTTCAAATTTAACAACTTAGGACAAAATATAAAACTTTGAAAATTATGTGGGCCACGCTACTAGTTTGGGTAATAGATGTTAACTGTTAATGAGTTTATTCATATCGAAATTATACTATTATTGTTTGCATATTTATACATTTAGAATCTCAAATCTTTTCTGTAAAATTTCTCCTAGAAACCTTTAGACTTTCATTGGAACTTTTGTTTGATTATCCAACGAGTTAGCGGCTATATCTTTTAATTACTTTGTAGATTTTATAGGGAGGAAGGTTCATCAGGGTGACAGTTATAGTAGGAAAATGAAATTCAACTGATTTGTGACTCCTCACATTTTGCCACTATAAAAGCTTGTGTTTACTTTTTTCTGTTTAAGAAAAGAAAATGAAAAATATAAAAATGTTTAAATCATTCTCCCATCCCATTCTCACCCTGGTAAGAGTTTAGCTTTTCCTTCTAGTGTCTTTCTAAAATCCACATATAAACAAGCAATCTCTGCATACACCAGCATATGTAAAGTGAGTTGTGCTATTCATCACTTACAGTTTATGTTTTTCACTTTTACCTATTGCTAATCGTTCTCCTAATGATGGTGAGTTTTTTAATTATTACATTATTGCTGCAAGAAACCTTTCCACATAGATTTTTGTGTCCTGGAGGCAGATTTGTAAAAGTGGAATTACATGGTCAAAAGGTTTTCATAAATAATGTCAAGTTGCGTTCCAAAAAGATGGCATAAATTTGCCTTTCTACATAAATTTGCCAATGCTAGATGTCTCTCAAATTTTATTAGTTTCATGAATTTTCAAAATGTAGTTTATACTTTATAAAGATTAACATTTATTTTTGTAAAAGACATGCATTTGATAGTACAATATTAAACAGTGATAAAAGTACTGCCAAAAAAATATCAATTGCAGCAATCCTTTTCCCAATTCAGCTCTCTTGAGACCAACTACTTTTAATTTAGCTTTTTTATTTAGTATTTACCTCCATTATTCTAAATATTAGGTTTATATTACTCAGTTCATGAATTTTAGATATTCTCTTTTTACTGCCACTGCGTTGGGTGAAGAGTTACCATATATGCTCAAAAGTAGGTGAGGTTTCCCCACCTGCAGTCATCCCATCACCTTATATTCAAGGACTTAGTCACTTAACACAAGTTTTCGGTTTTATTTGATCCTTGTTTTCTAAACATGCAGATGTTAAATAACAGAACCATAATTAAGAAAAAAGAGAAGAGCAGTTAAAATTTAACCCAGATTTAAGATCAGTCCTCTGACTCATATTATTAGTGTTCATTTTAGCTGTATGGCCTTGGCCAAATTGCTTGGTCTGTTTGAGCCTCTACTCCCTCATCTATAAAATGGGAGTAATAGTACTTATAAAGGTTAAATATATCACTACACATTAAGTGCTTAGACTGTGCCTAACACCAAGTATCGTATAAATGTTAACTGTATTAATAATTATGAGACCTTTGCAAATCACCATAAAAAGTAATCCTGTAAGATGTTATTATGAAATTTACAAATAAACCCCTATAGGGCAAACTATGTTTCTGAACCAAATGAGATAAAAATGAAGACTTACTCTGGAAAACTGTTAGATGATACAAAAAGTGAATCTAATGACAGGTGAAGTATTTCAGAAAGTGACAAAAGCAGTATTTCTAAAATAATATATTCTAATATACTACTCAAATATGCATGTGTAGACTTCTAGGTCTAGCCTGATCCAATTTTCCCACCCACTTTTCTACAAACCTATAAAACCAACAAGGAGCACATATAAATCAAACACTACCTGTGCCTTCAGTATTATTAAGAAACAGTTTAACACAACCTTCAGATTACCTATAAGTAGAGAAATAAATCAGATTCTAAGAGCTCCTTCTGCTCTTTACTGTGGATTTAAAGAGTGGGTGAGGGAAAGCTTAACAGGTTCACTGAAAAAGTTTACGGGCATAGAAGATTTAGATGAAGCACAAAATATCACTTCCAAGAGAAAAATTCCAACACTAAGTTCCAAAATACTGAATACAGGTTTGAAATTTGATAGTTTTTAGCTCTAACCACAGAGAAGAACTTGAAAATAATCTGCCGAAATGGATAGCCTTAAATTATAAGCATTGCTTCATAGGGAAGGGGTGAAGATACGGAGACTTGGAGAAATGGTAGTGAAGAGAAAGAAAAGAGGAAAAAAATTAATGATGCTTCAGGAAAAGAAAGAGAAAGTAAACTTAAGATGTATTCATGGACTAGGAACTCTGACTATGAAATGAATCGAAAGAGAAAAGAGTGGACCATCTCCATACAGAACTGCTCTAAGAAAGAAACAGTGTGAATCAAAGCATTTCAATTGATGGGGGAGGTGGGAAAGAGGAGCAACACCTTGAATCAGAAATATAAAAGTATAAAGAAAGGAACGAACAATAGGAAGAAATCAAGTTAGAGTAGATCAAACTCAGAAAAGTGAAGGAAAAAAGATGAAAAAAGTCAGAAATGAAGACTTCAGCTATAATAAAGTTCCCACTGAACAATAGATTCCAATGTGAATATATAAAACACATTGAAGAAAAGCAGGAAAACAATCCAGAAAATGAGATTCATTTTTTTTTGTTATTTGACAGTTAAATGGAAGATGGGTCTAAAAAAGCCTACTGTGGCCTGGCCAGTGTGATTTGGTAGTTGGGCGTCAACTTATAAATCAGGAGGTCACAGTTCGATTCCCAGTCAGGGCGCATGCCTGGGTTGTGGGCTTGATCCCCAGTTGCAGGAGGCAACCGATCAATGATTCACCCTCATCATTGATGTTTCTATCTCTCCCTCTCCCTTCCTCTCTGAAATCAATAAAAATATTTTAAATCTAATGTGTGTAATTATTGTCCCTAATAAGGAAAAAAAGTGTAATATTTAAAACTATCATTGAAGAAAACTCTGGAAATAAAAGATCTGAGTCTGAACATCAAAAGTTCATATCAGAAGATAAACTCAACAGTAGAGCAACATGAGGAAAGCAAATGCTAACCAATGATTTTATAGTCAGTCAACTGTCCTTCAAATGTCAAGACTGTAGAAAAACAATTTTGACTATGCCAAGAACTCGGGGAATACTGTACTCACTAGCCTTTCCTGAAGAAATTTAAGGGCTCAATTTCATTAGGAAGAGGTGTTTGGGAAATTTTCTGCAAAAAGATTGACAGTGAATACTTCATGTATTTTGTTTTGTTTTTTAGCCCAAGGAATTTTGGGTTTCAACAAAGAACCATTTGCCTGAATATTTACATTGATGGGGAAGTGAGCGTACACAGACCTCATCTTGTAACACCAATGTAACGTCCTTGATCATCACATTCTGTACATGACTGCAGATAGTGTGAACAGGAGCCAGTTCATTTCTAGTTCCTCACTACTGGTCAACCCTCTTTTTTCTTCCAAGGAGACCGAGTTCTACATTGACCTTCACAATAACTGCATCCCTGAATTCAGAGTGAGATCAACATTTTCTGGAATGTTGACAGTCTGATTGCTGAGAATGGTCTTATCCTCACCATAGATGCAGCAAAAAAGGAGTTTTGTTTATCTTTTTGAACTAAGATTAAAATCAAGAGTAGGGACATAACTAGAATAGTACCTAAATGTTACCTGTTCTGACAAAAGAATGCAATCAATAAATTACCTGAGAGAAAGGGAACAGACCAGGGGGAAACTAGAATGAGGTTAATGCATATAGCTTATTAGGAGTGATTCAGAGGGTTTCATCTGAAACAAAGACAGAAAAGGTTAGGTAACAAAAAGATACCCAGTGTACTGCAAAAGATACAGGTGTACCTTGTTATTGCACTCTGCTCTATTGTGCTTCATAGATAACTGCATTTTGAGTGTTTGTGGCAACCCTATACTGAGCAAGCTTATTAGAACCATTTTTCCAATAGAACTTGCTCATTTTGTGTCTCTGTGTCACATTTTGGTAATTCTTGTAACATTTCAAACTTTTTCATTATTTTTTAAATACATATTTTTATTGAATTCAGAGAGGAAGAGAGAGAATCACTGATTGGCTGCCGCCTGCACTCCCCCTACTGGGGATCGAGCCCACAACCCGGGCATGTGCCTCAACTGAAATAGAACCTGGGACCCTTCAGTCTGCAGGCTGATGCTCTATCCACTAAGCCAAACTAGCTAGGGCAAACTTTTTTACTATTTATTGTCATCTGTGATCAGTGATCTTTGACATTACTATTGTAATTGCTTTAGGGAGCCAGCAACCACACCTATGCCAGACAGCAAACTTAATTGATAAATATTGTGTGGGTTCTGATGGGTCATTCCCCATCTTCCCGTCCTGGGCCTCCTTAGTCTGAGACAACAATATTGAAATTAGGCCAATCAATAACCCTATAATGGCCTCTAAGTATTCAAGTGAAAGGAAGAGTTGCATACCTCTCACTCAAAATCTAGAAATGATTAAGCTTACTGAGAAGGGCATGTCAAAAGCTAGGCCTCTTGCCCAGCTGGCATGGCTCAGTGGCTGAACATCGACCTATGAACCAGGAGGTTAAGGTTTGATTCACCATCAGGGCACATGCCTGAGTTGTGTGATCGGTCCCCAGTGTGGAGCATGCTGGAGCCAGCTGACCAGTGATTCTCATCATTGATGTTTCTATCTCTCTATCCCTCTCGCTTCCTCTCTGAAATCAATAAAAAATATATTTTTGTAAAAAGCTAGGCCTCTTGCGGACTCAAGGTTCGATCGGACCCAGGTCCGATTCCGGTCAAGGGCATGTACATTGGTTGCAGGCACATACCCAGTAGGGAGTGTGCAGGAGGCAGCTAATCGATGTTTCTCTCTCATCGATGTTTCTAACTCTCTATCCCTCTCCCTTCCTCTCTGTAAAAAAATCAATAAAATATATTTAAAAAAAAAAAAATGCTAGGCCTCTTGTGCCATAGAGCCAAGTTGTGAATGCAAAGGAAAAAGTCTTGAAATTTAAAAGTGCTATTCCAGTGAACATACAAATGTTACGAAAGTGAAACAGCCTTGTTATGGAGCAAATTTTAGTGGTCTGGATAGAAGATCAAACCAAGTACAACCTTCCTTTAAGCCAAAACCTAATCTAAAGCAAGGCCCTGACTCTCTCGCAGTGTAGGAAGGCTGAGAGTGATGGGGACACTGCAGAAGTTAGAAGCTAGCAAATGTTGGTTCATAAGGTTTAAGGAAAGAAGCCATCTCCATAACAAGTGCAGGATGAAACAGCAAAGTGCTGATGTAAAAGCTGCAACAAGCTGTGCAGAAGACCTAGCTACGACAATGAAGATGGCTACACTAAACAACAGATTTTCAGTGGAAACAGCCTTATATTGGAAGGAGATGCCATTTAGGACTTCCATAGCTAGAGAAGAGAAGTCACTGCCTCACTTCAAAAGCAGGCTGACTCTCTGGTAGGGTCGAATTCATATGGTGAAAATTGAAGCCAGTGCTCATTTACCATTCTGAAAACCCTAGGGCCCTTAAGAATTATGTGAAACCTATTCTGACTATAAGTGGAACAACAAAGCCTGGATGGCTGCACATCTATTTACAACATGGTTTACTGAGTATTTTAAACCTGTTGAGACCTGCTCAGGAAAAAAATAGTAATCACCTACCCTTTTTGCTCCATAGTGACATTTTATGTATTAATTTGAGAGAGAGAAATATCAATTTCTTACTTATGCATTCATTGGTTGATTCTTGTATGTTCCCTGACTGGGGATTGAACCCACAACCTTGGCGTACTGAGCTGACCCTCTAACCAAGTCTGCTACCCAGGCAGGGCTCCAAAGTGGCTTTTAAAAGAATCAGGTGCCTATACTTCTATATAAGAATTTCTGGTGCCAAGAATTAACCAATCAGATGCAACCTTATTATGTAATGTTACCAATAAGATGCTACTCTATTATATCACATATATACTTATGGTTCAAGACACACTGGGCAATTATTGTTGTGTTGGCTGTTGTCATTTTTTAATTTGACAGTCTAAGGAAAAAGGTCAATGACTAAATAGTTAGATATTGCATGTTTTAAAAATTCTTGCAGCACACTGGTTGAAATTGCTTGTCTAGACCAGTGGTCGGCAAACTGCGGCTTGCGAGCCACATGCGGCTCTTTGGCCCCTTGAGTGTGGCTCTTCCTAAGCCTTAGGAAATTAAGTTAATAACAATGTACCTACCTATATAGTTTAAGTTTAAAAAATTTGGCTCTCAAAAGAAATTACAATCGTCGTACTGTTGATATTTGGCTCTGTTGACTAATGAGTTTGCCGACCGCTGGTCTAGACGTTGGCAGTTTTAGAGATGAAACGCAAATTAAGAAATCATCTGTTGTGTGTATTTTAGCACAAATTTTTTTAAATCAACTGATATAATCTCTTTTATAGAGAAGTGACACACCTAGTTTATGGCAAAACTTGAATTACAGGATGAGCTTCTGATTCAGTCAGTGTTCTTACCATCATTATTGTTATTCTTGTTAGCTAACATTGTAGCTAATAAATTTGTGTCTCAGATACGTGGAGTTCTCCATTTTGACACAAACGTTTAGCTTTTCATTATAAAATAAAATTACCATTCCTCAGGGCTAGGTTTTCATTTTTCAAATTCCATTTGCCAAATTTTGAACTAAGGTCTTTTAGGGATGTATATAAGTGCTGTGTCATGTATTACTAATTTGTACTTTTAAGATTGAACATTTTCATGATCCCAAAGGAAAAGAAGAGACTCATTCGGGATGTTTGACGGTTATGATAGCTGCAGTGAGGACACAAGCAGCAGCTCCAGCTCCGAGGAGAGTGAAGAGGAAGTTGCTCCTTTACCTTCTAATCTCCCCATTATCAAAAACAATGGACAAGTCTACACGTACCCAGATGGCAAATCTGGCATGGGTGAGTATGAGTGCCTCAGCCTTCGCCTGCTGTACAGCTTTGTTTTAAGGTTATGTTTGATTCCATATCTTCTGTCATTTCCCTCCCTTAGAATTTTTAAAGGGCAGCTTGAAGAAACTTACAGTTCTAGAGTAGATCATTGGGTTTGTGCTTGATCTCTTTATTTTGTCTGCCAACCACCTTCCAGGGGAAAGCAAGTAAAACAAAATGAAAAGAGAAGGCTGTTGAGAAATTTAATGTGGACTTAAATTTTAAGATTAGATAATGAAATCTTACGTGATTGAAAGTGTGTAAGATAATACTTACAGATTTGAAAGAGACTTTTCCTCTATGACAATTTCTTGTAAGTTTTCTGTTTTAATACTTCCAGTGATTGGGTATCTAGTGAATATTCTTTATATTAAACCAAAAGTATCTATGCTCTAACTTCTATCTTTTGGTCTTAATGTTGCTTTTTATTTTTTTTATATTTTTCGTATTGATTTCAGAGAGATTTTAAAGGTTTGTAAATAAGGAGAGAGAGAGAGAATCATTGATCGGCTGCCTCCTGCACACCCCCTACTGGGGATCAAACCCAGAACCCAGGCATATGCCCTGATAAGAATCGATCTATGACCTCCTAGTTTATGAATCGACACTAAACCACTGAGCAACACCAGCCAGGCTTAATGTTGCTTTTTATTTTTTATTTTTATTTATTTTTATTTTTTTTTAAATATATATTTTATTGATTTTTTTTACAGAGAGGAAGGGAGAGGGATAGAGAGTTAGAAACATCAATGAGGGAGAAACATCGATCAGCTGCCTCCTGCACACTCCCCACTGGGGATGTGCCCGCAACCAAGGCACATGCCCTTGACCGGACTCGAACCCGGGACCCTTGAGTCCGCAGGCTGACGCTCTATTCACTGAGCCAAACCGGTTAGGGCTTAATGTTGCTTTTTAAAGGTACACAGATAATTCTAATTTTTGTACGGTGACATAGTTCTAGCATGTCTCTGGCACACTAAGTAACCTTAGTTGCCCTAGCCATTTCTCATAGTAGCACAGGGATTTAATTCTTCAGTATCCTGCTTACTTGTTTCTGGGGATACTTTAGATTATACAGTAATAGGGTAACAATTTGTCCAAGACTGTCCTGGATTTAGGATTGAAAGATCCACATCCTGGAAATACCTCAGGCAAACGGTTGGTCACGTGGTGTGATTAGGGCAGAAGGGGGTTCAGTCTTTTCTCTCCCTTCTTTTCAGGACAGTATGTTTCCATTCATGCCAACAAAATTGCTTTAACATTTTTTTAAACTAATACTGAATTTACAAATAACTAAAACCCTTTGATCTGTACCACATGAAATAAACCAATTAAACCAGTCATGTGCTTTTGTGGTTGATCTTTTTTTTAAACCAAGGTATAAGACTTTGAAGCTCTTCAGTAACCTTTTACTTACTAAATTCAGCCATCTTGTGCCCTGGCCTAAAGGCTCAGTTGATTGGAGTGTCGTCCATTACATCTAAAAGGTTATGGGTTCGATTCTAGGTCAGGCACATGCCTAGGTTGTGGGTTCAATCCCCAGTCAGGGTGCTTACAGTAAGCAACTGATCAATGTTTCTCTCTCACCCTCTCCCTCTTCTTTTCTCTCCTCGTCCATCCCTCCTTGTCTTCCCTCTCCCTTTGACTCCCTCTCCTTCTTTCTCTAAAATCAATTAAAAATAAACTTTAAAAAGGAAAAAAAGAAACACAGTATGACAAATTCTCAAAAAAAAAAAAATTGAAAAGTACAACCGTATAACTAAGCAGTTCCACTCCTGGGTATATTCCTGTTTATCTTTTTTGAACTTCAGTTCTTGTGACCCTTCTTCTTTCTGTTCTGCCCTTCACGTTATTGTCCATTAAGCTAATGATGCACAATAATAGAATTTTGTTGCCCTTTTTAGTTAATAATAGAGCATATACCTCAAGCTCAGGCCCTATCCCTTTGTCTTGTCCCTGAACATATCTGGAGAGATTAGTTCTTTTGCCCTTTGCGTTTTTCCAAGAATTGGTTTTTTAGGTATCAATCTCTGCAATATTTTAAAGGCTTACACGATACTTTGTATTATTCCTCAGTTGTGTTACACCTTTCATCTTTGTTTATAACCCTTTCAAACCCTGCAGCTCATACTGTAGATGAGAATGCCTGGCACCTGGTGAGCACTAAGGAAATGTTAGTTGAATCTGACTTGTATTTGTTTGTGTCTTTTGACCCTTTTTAGAGCCTGTCAGACCTTCAGTACTCCTAGCGATGGCATCATACCAATCTTTTCTCTTAACTTTTGTCTAGGCTTTTCTACCTTTTCTACCATTTGTATAGCAACAGATAGAAGAAATTTTCTTTCCTTGAGAAGGAAACTTTTTAAATTAAAACTTTTAGGTAATTGGAGAAATTATTAAACTGTTAGATTAAAATTGATTTTATTATATGATCATGACACCAGTCTTTTTTATTTTGTCTATTAGCTACCTGTGAAATGTGTGGGATGGTTGGTGTGCGAGATGCTTTTTACTCCAAAACAAAGCGTTTCTGCAGTGTTTCATGTTCAAGAAGTTATTCGTCTAATTCCAAGAAGGCAAGCATTTTGGCCAGACTTCAGGTAACGGTACAGAAACCTTCTTATTCTTTATATCTGTTATTTCTATGGCTTTCACTGTTTATCTTTCATTTGATGTGATTCACCGCACTCCACTCTGCCCCATTGGTCAGTTATCATTTTACACCCCACATTTTTAGGAAGTAGCTCCCATGTTTGTTCCATATGTAGAATTGACAACTATTATAAATAGACAAGGCATATTATCCAGAATAAACTGAATTTTATAAGTGGGTTAAAAAACCCTTTTTCTAAATAATTACAAATATAATAAATACCTTTCTATATGCAGAAATCGAAGCCATTTTCCCTCTTGTTTTCTTTTGAGTTAACATTAAGGTAGAATCTTTCAGCATTTGAGGGGATATGATTTCCCTTTGGTTTTCTTTTCCCATCATTTTTGCTTTGTACTTTTGATAACCCATTTGATACCTTGCCCAAATGTATTTGGTTAATCCAACTAACCTTTTTGAAAACATTCATGATATAGAAGGAAAATCATATTTCTCTGTATATCAATACCTACCGAATAACTGGAAAGTTGACCATTTGTCTAAGATTTACTACTGTAGCATATAAACAATGTTTTAAAGGCATTGCATATCTGAGTTTTGTAATACATTTTATTTTTGTGATCACATTTTTCTTATTCTCCTTTAATTTATTACTGTGATCATTACATAGCACTGAAAGGATTATTTAAGTCCCCCAAATTAAGGAAATACATCACTTAGATGTATTTCTATATTTCAGAAAGACAGTGCCTAAAGATCCTGAGCATTGGTCTGTACCCAAATGGATGGCAGTTTGTCACACTGTGAATTTGGCCCATGATCATTTTGTCATTGATCTTTTGCGTTAGCGCTAAAGGTATAAACCTCAGTCACTTACTCTTTAAACGTTAAATTATCTTTTCTTACCATATAAATAGCAATGCTTGGCAACCTGCATGAGTGAATAACCACTGGTTTTATCTAGTAAAAGAAAGAATCAAGTACCCACCACAGCCTATATTTTAACATCTTATGGGATGTAATTTTTTATTAACATATTAATTTGCATATTGCTATTTTTGTCTATGCCAGCTCTGCTACCCATATTAGATATCTACATTGTGCCAGAACTCAAGAATACATTTCTCATGTTAAAATTCCTTGTATGTTCCCTCTGCTTTAATAATTTTCTAAACCCTCAATGTTTACTTAAGCAGAATGAGTAGTATGCAATCAAATTAGTTTTTGATGGGGGGGAGGTGAAAAGAATCCTATTTACTTAACTCTTCTTGTTTTAGGGTAAGCCTCCAACAAAGAAAGCAAAAGTTCTTCAGAAACAACCTTTAGTTGCTAAACTAGCCGCATATGCTCAGTATCAAGCTACCTTGCAAAATCAAGCAAAGACTAAAGCAGGTAATGTGAGTGAATGTAATAGAGGTGAAATAATTTGATAGATTCATCTAGTTTTAATTAGTGACATTCTAATTTGGTTTCTAGTAAACTAAGCTATTTCTATGCCCTATTAGCACATGACACTAGGCTTCCTGATACTTGTGACAGCGTCCTTTATATTAATGGTTTTTATCTGGTTTGGTATTTTTTATGTACTGTTTGTCAGTGCTTTGGGTGGTAGGGAGCGTTGTGAAGGTAATTGGCAAAGAAATAGGACATTTAGCAGGCTTCAGGGGGGTTGGGTAGAAGCGAGTCAAAAGAGAAAAGGACCATTCTAATAGGATATTCTCTGGCCGGGAGGTAAATAAGGAGTACAGTAATGAAAGCCCTACTATTAGGTGGTAGATACTGGATAGACTTAGCCCTGGGCTCACGTAAGAACTGTGTGGGAATAAAAACAAGTAGCCATAGCCATGTTAGTTATGAGCACCTGCTCAGCTGTTCGTGGCTTCTCATAACTGGAGAGCTCTTACTTCACTTCTGAGGAATATATGTTGTATGTAAAAGAGTTTAACTGCTATTTGTTTGCAAATGTGACTGATGCCAAAATTCATGTTCATCTAGAGAAGTTCTTTAATCTTTACATAAAAACACAACTTGAAAGGTGCTAAATTAATTTTATATCAATTCACATTTTAAAATAATAGCCTTTTTAACACATTGTATGTGGGAAACGTATTTATACGTTTTACGTTGACTGATAGTAGAGCGCGGGACACGTTATGTTATAGACGCGGGATACGTTTTTTATAGACTAGCGGTAGAATGTGGGTAACGTATAAATACGTAAACCAAAGTTATCGTAATTTTACTGAACGTTGCCATTTGCGCAAAAAATTAGCAAAAATGGCCCGCGCCACCTGTTAGCGCGCAATAAAAACTACCCACAAACAGTGTGTTAAAGATAAAAGATTTGAGAATTGTAATATATCTAAATTTCTTTTTTTTTCAACAGTAGTCTCCATGGAAGGTTTCAGCTGGGGTAACTACATCAATAGCAATAGCTTTATAGCAGCTCCAGTTACCTGCTTTAAACATGTGAGTATGGAATTTCTCACCTCAAATTGAAACGCTTATTTATTGCTAAATCTAGAGGTACAATAACACCTAAGCATCTTATCCTTAGATCTTTATTTTATACCTTGTAATGGAAATGTTTTTTATTTTACCTATCAATAGCTAAAAAATAACTTCTATAAGTTTTATAAGTAAAAGCTTTTTATAAAGAAATTGCAATCTGAAATTATTTTAAACAAGGAAAAATACTAATCTCATCCAATTTTTATATTAAGTTGCTGGTTTTGTATAAAAAATAGTTATACAGTGGCAATGTCATGTCATTCAACAATAGAAATCGTCTATTATGTATGTTACCTAAATCTTTGTGATTTGGCCTGATAATTCAGAAAAGAAAGGGTCTGTCTTCCAGTTTTATTTTTGTCTCCAAATGTAAAAGCACCAAAGCACAGAAGGAACTATTAGTAATACAGTATTGTGGGCTGAAATATGTGGTATATATATCGTGCATAACCCATTCCTAGATTTTTTTTAAGCAATTAGATTGTTACAAAGCATCAGAAATTATTCAGTTATGTTTAATATGTATCTGATGAGAAGTTCTTTCCTTTTGATTCTATTTCTTTTTGATTCAAGAGCCTGTGATAAACTATCTGCAATTTTTTTTTTCTACGATGCTTTTGTAACCTGACTACAAGTTCAATTTATATATAAAGGTTCTATCTGCTACTGACCATGTATAAAAAAGAGAATTTAGAAAAATAATGAATGAAATTTTGTTTACACTTAACATTTTATTAAGTTAGGGCTATACTTTTAAATAATAGCATGTAAACAAAACTGAGTTTGAGTTCTTGCTGTGGAAATCCAAATGAATTTTCATTCATTCATGGCTAATACAAGATCTTGATCAAGGCCAAGCATATTAATTTAGTGGTAGAAATATAAATTAAAGCAAGTTCATTCATTTGCTGGTTTTCTTTCTTAAAAGTACAAGTGTTAAGCCCTTAGTCCTGGTGGCACGGTAACTATCTGAACCAACTTACGTGGAATCTTAGATACTTATCACAGTGTAACTTGGGTGATTTATTTTGCTGTAATGTTGATAGTGGTGTCACGTTTGTGAGAGCTATTAAATACATGGCAACAGCAGCTTTAAAGAGAATTACTAAACAAATCTTTAACTGTCTCTTGGGATAGTTCCTTCTGGTACTAAAAAGCTCAGAATTAGTTTGCTTTCAGTTGCAATAAGTCTTTCATCCCAGATTCCTGGAACACTTGTCTGTTGTCTCCTGAATAGCCTTTATTCTTTACTATCTTTATTTTAATATTGGTTTTTATGTTTCAGTATCATAAGCCATGTCTAGTTATTTTATGTAAGTAGTCAAGAATATTTTTTAAATAGCATATCAAAGTCTCAATTTCATGTTTTATTTCACATCCATATCTTTGAATAATAAAACTATATTAAAATTCTTTGCAAGAAAATCTCAATTATAATAATGAAATTGATTTTCTTTTCAACTTTGCTTTATTAAGATTAAAGTATTATCCTATATATTAAAAGGGTAATATGCAAATTGTCCATTCGACCAGAGTTCAACCAGGGGCGGGGCCGGTCCACCAACCTCCTGTGTCGTCGTCCCCCACCCCCACCCCCACCCCCTACCCCCACTGGTCCAGGGCGGGCCAGCCAGACCCCGCCATGCACCGGGCCTCTACTTTTATAAATAGAGCATCTAGCTTTAATCGTGTTATCAATAATGAATGCTGTGGCCCTGGCAGGTGTGGCTCAGTTGGTTGGAGCATACACCAGAATGTGGTGGGTTTGATTCCTGGTCAGGGCACATATCCAGGTTGCAGGTTCAGTCCCCAGTTGGGGCACTTAGGTAGGCAACCGTTCAATGTTTCTCTCTTATCTGTCTATCTGTATCTCAGTTTCCCCCCTTACCCTCCCTCTCTCTAAAATCATTTTTTTCCTTTTTTCTAAAATCAGCTTTAAAATAATAATAATACAGTGGAGACTCCTCATTTGCACGCAGAGGCGAGGCATCTGTTACCGAGTGCCTTTCTGCTCCACTCATCTTTCTTTACTGCCTTCTCCTTATCAAATAGGAAAAAACTTACATTGGTAATTTCTAAGTATATATTAGTACTAATGACTTTGCTCTGTGGCTTAACCAGCATCTTCATCTGAAACCATTTGGTTTAGGAGATCACACCTCATGCTACACTTGATTTTGTTGTTTAGAGTTGACTCTTCATGGTTCTCCCCCTGAGATACGCTTTTAGGTCTCCAGGGAGGGTTACTATTACTAGCTTTGGCTTTAGAAAACCTACTGTCGGCATCAGCTGGAAACATGAGATCTGCCTAACACTGGTTCATCAGTAGGGCCTGCTTCCTCCAAACTCTATATACGCCTTGTCTTCAACATGAGCACAGGTTGGGAGCCTTTCCCTGCTAGGGGATTCTTTATTCAAACATAATTTTTTAAAAATCCAATGTGGCCCTAGCTGGTTTGGCTCAGTGGATAGAACGTCAGCCTATGGGCTGAAGGGTCCCGGGTTCACTTCCAGTCAAGGGCACATGCCCGGGTTGCAGGCTTGATCCCCACTAGGGAGTGTGCAGGAGGCAGCCGATCAATGATTCTCTCTCCTCATTGATGTTTCTATCTCTCTCTCCCTCTCTAAAAAGAAATCAATAAAAACATACTTAAAAAATAACAACATCCAGTGTGTAACATAGAAGCAGAGTTGTTCTGATTGAACCAGGAATTTGGGGGGAGGCTGGTGTGATAACTGCACTATTTATGCATAGTGGTTTATACTCAACTAGAGGCCCGGTGCACAAAAATTTGTGCACTCGGGGGGAAGGGGGGTCCATCAGCCCTGCCTGTGCCCTCTCGCGGTCTGGGACCCCTCGGGAGATAACGACCTGCTGGCTTAGGCCTGCTCCCGGGTGGCAGAGGGCAGGCCCAATCCCTAGGTGCAACCCCTGGTCGGGCTCAGAGAAGGGCCGATTGGCTAGTTGGGGCGCTGCCCCTGTCATGCACAGAGCAGGGCGGATCGGGAGGTTGCAATGCCACCCTCAGTCACGCTCAGGGTAGGGCCAATTGGGGGCTTGGGGCACCTCCCCCTGTCACACTCAAGGCAGGGTAGATGGGGAGGTTGCGGCGCCACCCCCTGTCATGCACAGAGCAGGGCGGATCGGGAGGTTGCAATGCCACCCTCAGTCACGCTCAGGGTAGGGCCAATTGGGGGCTTGGGGCACCTCCCCCTGTCACACTCAAGGCAGGGTAGATGGGGAGGTTGCGGCGCCACCCCCTGTCATGTACAGAGCAGGGCCAATCGGGGTTGGGGCGCTGCCCCCTGTCACTCACAGAGCAGGGCCCATCAGGGGGGTTGGGGCTCCGTACCCTGTCACACACAGAGCAGGGTCGATCATGGGGTTGGGGAGCTGCCCCCTGTCACACACAGAGCAGGGCCAATCAGGGTGATGGGGAGCTCCCCCCTGTCACTCACAGAGTAGGGCCGATAGGGGAGTTGGGGCACCGCCCCTGTCACACACAGAGCAGGGCGGATCAGGGGTTTGGGGCGCCGCACCCTGTCACACTCAGGGCAGGGCCCGTGGCGGGGAGGGGGGGTGGGGGGGGGTTGGGGCGCCGCACCCTGTCACACACAGAGCCGCAGGGCAATCAGGGGGTTGGGGAGCTCCCCCCTATCAGGCACAGAGCAGGGCTGATCAGGGTGTTTGGGCGCTGCCCCCGTCACGCTGATCCCGGTGCCGGGAGGCCTCGCGACTCCGCTGATCCCGGTGCTGGGAGGCATATTACCCTTTTACTATATAGGTTAGAGGCCTGGTGCACGTGTGGGAGGTGGCTGGTTTGCCCTGAAGGGTGTCCTGGATCATGGTAGGGGTCCCCACTGGGTTGCCTGGCCAGCCTGGGTGAGGGGATGATGGCTGTTTGCAGCTGGTCACACACCCTTCAGGGTGGGGGTCCCCACTGGGGTGCCTGGCCACTCTTTGTGAGGGGCTGAGGGCTGTTTTCAGGCTGGGACTGAAGCTCCCAACTGCTCCTTTTTTTCTTTTTCTTTTTTTATTCTGGGCCACCTTTAGCTCTGAGGCTCCAGCTCTTAGGCCTCTGCTCCTGAAAGCAGGTATCTGGTTTGTTTTGGTTCTATAATCGAAACTCTGTATCAACTCCAGCTCTGAGATCCCAGCCTGCTGAAAGCTGGTTTCTGGGGTTTTGTTTAGCTTCTATATTTGTTACAATGTTTCTTAAACTGCAGGCTCAGAGGCCAGCAAGGCAGGCGGGGAACGTTGGAGTCCTCTGTCACTGAAGCAAGCAAGCCTCATGTTAGTTTCAAGCTGCCTGGCTGCCGGCCACCATCTTGGCTGGCAGTTAATTTGCATATCTCGCTGATTAGCCAATGGGAAGGGTAGCGGTCGTACACCAATTACCATGTTTCTCTTTTATTAGATAGGATTACAACAGCATTTGATGTTTTTTATAATTTAGCAATGGAAATGAAGCTCAATTGTCATTAAATGTATCTACTTAGAAATCTGTATATTATGGTTGCCACATTTCTGATGTATCTTTTATCTAGGTGGTAGTTTTCAGACTTTTTTTTTTTTTAAGCATCAGCATTCCCCTTTTCCCTAATAAACATAGCTAGGATAAGAGGAAGCTGTTCTGATTGTCTGAAAGAGGTGTGTGGGGGGTGGGGAGGGGGGGTGTCAATTGGGGAAAAAGGAGACATATGTAAAACTTTAGACAATAAAAAAAAGGAATAAAGACATATGTAATACATATGTAATAAAGTTTCATCTTTTTCTACTTGATGCACTTTAGTAATCATATGCCTATTAGTCTTAAAATAGTCTAATGATGGCTTTTTCTCCATTTGCCATATCATCATTGGGGTTGATTTTTTTTTATTACCTATATGCAATTTCAAGTCTAACCTCTGCCCACTTAAATTCTATTAATATTGAAAATTGTGTGTGATTAGCAAAAGTTACAAGTTGGCCCTGGCCAGTGTTGCTCAGTGGTTGGAGCGTCTGTCCCCCCCCCCCCCCCCCCCCCAGACCAAATGGTTGCAGGTTCGATACCTAGTCCAGGACAGGAACCTCGATCGCAGGTTCCCCAGCCCTGGTAGAAGCAAGTGCAGGGGCGAGTGTAGGAGGCAACCAATTGATGTGTCTCTTCACGTCGATGTTTCTCCCTCTCTCTCTTTCTCTCTGTCTCTCTCTTTCTCTCCCCTTCTCTTTCCCACTCTCTCTAGAGATCAATGGAAAAGACATCCTCAGGTGAGGATTAAATAAGAAAATTATAGGTTGGCAGCTCTATGGAAGGAAATCTGTATTTCTGCCGTGAATCAGCCCTCTGAGAGTCTAAATGCCAGCCACCCAGGCTGCTGGACTGTCTGGGAACATTCTTGAAGTGCAGAAAATAAGGCTTCCCATCGAATTACTTCCTTGCAGACAGTCAGGTGGAGGTTATACATTTGTGCTGGGGAGCCCTCAGCATTTGGACGTGGCCGTGTCGGCAGGACCTGATGATAGCTTACCTTGCAGGGAAGGAGAGTCGCTCCCAGATAGCCTCACGAGCGGCCTGGAGCAGGAAGTGGTGAAGCAGATCTTCCTGGTTTGGGAGGAGCCTGAGGTGGACCTCTCGCCCTGAGTCTGGAAGGTAAATTTGTTGTTACCTGTAACTTATGGTTCTGCTAGTTCATGCTATGCCAATCCAGACTTTCAGAGGTATCCCTCCTGCCAGCAAGAGAAGACAGATGACTTGGATGAAGATGGCTGTCAAGCCCTGGGTCATTTAGTCTTCCACACTTAAGAATATTCATTTTAAACAAAAGGGCATTATCTATAAAATTACCTTATTTCAACACATCGAGCACATACTATTCAGTGACTATTGTGCTCTTTTTTGTTGTTTTTTCTACTTTTTTTTTCTTAGAGTAAACCATATGGATTGGTTTAAGAGGGCCTAGCAGAACCACAAACTTACAGGCAAGAACAAATGTCACTTTCTGCTACTTTCTCCTATACCAATCCAGACTGTAGGGACCAGAACATAGTATCCCCGCTAAAGTCAACATGCACTTTATTTTTTAAGTGAGCATATTGATACTTTGTTTTCTTTAATGTGACTAAAAGTTATTTTCTCCAAACAATTGTTAAGGCTTTTTAAAAAAAATCAGTATGACATTGTCATATCTAGTTCAAAAAGGAGTCCTGTCTGCCAAATGTACTTAGCAATGTGCCAACATAAACCCCAGCTACTCAGCAATACCATGCCTCTTTCTTCTCAATGAAAAATAAACCCATTCCATAAGATTTGGCAGCCAAACACAGAGGGATGGATGAATACCCTACCTTAATTCAATACATTTAACTACATCTGTCGACTCTAATTGGTCCATCCTCACAGAATTGAATACATGGTCTTTGTGTTAATTTATCTTAGCTTAATCTGTGTTACTATCTTCCTCCCAGCCTCTCCTTTTCTGGTCATATCTGCTGGCAATAGGGATGGCCCTACAGTCTAGAGTGATACAGGGGGAGATAGCAGAACCCGAAGAGTCCAGTATTTCCGTTTTTTTAAAAAGCAGGAAGAGGTCATCATGACGGAGGTATTATTTTTTTTGCACAGCTCAGGGAGGTAGTTACATGCACCCTTCCAGAATCACACATAGTTGAGATAGGTCATTGTCTTCAAGTTTATTTGCTCCTTCAAGCAATAGCCATAAATTGATTCTGTGTTTGGTGCCAGACTTATCCTAGCTCAGTATCATTTGACATTTTCTTCCTCTCCTTCAGAAGTTCCATGTAAAGTATTGAGAGGATAGGGTTCGTGTACTGTTCTAGGCTAATCCTCCTGTTGGGTTAGCATCTGCCAATGTATGGGAGGCTTTGCATGGAAAGCATTGCCCCGTGTTCAGATTGGCTAGATCCTGTGACTCCTGGATGGCTTTGTGTTTACTCATCTTTGAGCCTTGAAGCTATTTTGTCTTTTCCTGATTTGCTCGTATTATCAGGTCTTTTATAATCTCACCTAATCATGATCAAGGTTCTGAATTATATTTCCTGGAGCTGATATCAAAGGCCATAGAGACTGTTTAGTATTATTAGCATTTATATTCCTGAATTCACTCATTTGATTTAATTTACCATTGCATACGCTCCAGATAATTGTAAATGGCCTCAAGTTATAAGGATTAAAATGTAGTGGAAATTGTAATTTAGGAACATATGTGAATTTTGGAAAATCCCTTCATGATAGTCGTTTAGTTGGTTTTCTGAATCCTCATTTTAACCTTTTGTTAAAGGTTAAAATAACCTTTTGTTAAAGGTTAAAATAACCTTTTGTTAAAGTAGTCTGGAGGCTACTGATTACGGGTTCTAACATTGAAAGTTTTCTTTTTGTTTACAGTAACTCCTGTATGAGAAATTTAGAAATAACAAATTATTTAACAAGTTACTATGATGGTATGCATCTTCAAAAACTCTTCAACTCCCACTTTTAAATAACTTTACCCAGTGCTTTTGCCACATGTCTGTTTATCAGGCTATATTTCTGTTCTATGAATTTAACTAAGTTGAAAATACAGATATTTAAGTTTTGTTTCTCCTTTGTTATTGGAAACCACATTGTTGATGGGAATTTTTTTCTTTCTGCTCTTTGGTGAGATCTTTTAAAATTAGAGATTAAACTAAAGTATATTTATTCAGTGCATATTAAAAATAATGAGTTTCTTAAGTCAACTTTATCCTGTGAAGTCCCTCAAGTTGTGATTCAGTTTTTAAAAAATTGCTGCTCAAGTCTTGTATTAAGACAGTATTGAATTTTGGTCGACATGGATCTATTCTAATACATGTGAATCCTCTTCATCTTGAGCTTGACCTTGTCACTGGATTTTTACAAGTAGAATTCTGTGAAAAGGGGAATAACAATTATATTTTTAAAGAAAAGTGAATGAATTAAATGGAATTTTTAGTTTAATATTTTTATTATTGATAGTAATGCTTAATTTTGAATGGTATGTTTTAGGTTTTATGTTAATAAGATGATAATTTAGTAATTTTTATATGACAGGCACCTATGGGGACCTGCTGGGGTGACATCTCAGAAAATGTGAGAGTAGAAGTTCCCAATACAGACTGCAGCCTGCCTACCAAAGTCTTCTGGATTGCTGGGATTGTAAAATTAGCAGGTGAAAAGCATGCATCTTGTTCTAGAAAATGCCGATTATGTGTGTAACTTTTAAGGAAACGTATTTGTAAATTTTGCAAATGTTGCCAAATAAATAAATATGGTATTAGGGCAGGGATTGGCAAACTTTTTCTGTTAAAAGCCAGACATAAGTATTTTCAGCTTCTTGGGCAAAACAATCTGTCACAACTATTCAACTCGACCATTGTAGCATGAAAACAGCTATAGCAATACACAAATGAATAGGCATGGCTGTGTTTCAGTAAAACTTTATAGCCACTGAATTTGGGTTTTATATGTCACCTATTATGAAATACTATTCTTTGTTGTTTTTTCAATCATTGAAAATGTAAAAACCATTCTTAGATGGCGAACTATAAAACATCAGGCCAGTGTGGCTCAGTTAGTTGAGCATCATCCCGTGCACCAAAAGGTTGTAGGTTTGACTCCAGGTCAGGGCACATGCCCAGGTTGTAGACTCGATCCCCTGGTGGGGGGTGTGCAGGAGGCAGCCAATTGATGTTCTCCTTTCACCTTGATGTTTATCTCTGACCCTCTCCCTTCCTCTTTCTCTCAAAATCATTAAAAATATATTTAAAAACAACAACAAATCAGACCAGATCTGTGAGCCATAATAGAATTTGCCAACCCCTGGAATAGGAAAATACTTTGAAAAGTAACACACAGCCGAAACCGGTTTGGCTCAGTGGATAGAGCCTCGGCCTGCTGACTGAAAGGTCCCAGGTTCGATTCCGGTCAGGGGCATGTGCCTGGGTTGCGGGCACATCCCCGGTGGGAGATGTGCAGGAGGTGGCTGGTCGATGTTTCTCTCTCTCATCGATATTTCTGACTCTCTATCTCTCTCCCTTCCTCTCTGTAAAAAATCAATAAAATATATTTTTTTTTTAAAAAAAAAAAAAAAAAGAAAAGAAAAGTAACACACAGTAGAGGTATTAAAAAAAAAAAAAAGTGATAAGAGTCACAATAGCAAAAGTAAACTAGTATTGATAATTTCATGTATCTTGAGTTCTTCCTTTTTCTTCATGTCCACTACTTTTGTGTACCCTGATCCTTTATTACCTTATTGCTCATGAAGTAAATGTATTAGGCATTTACTCTGTTAGACACTGTAGGCAGGTGATGTGCAAAAGTGTAAGACTTGGTTTTTTTCTGTGAGCTTACATCTGCCAAACGTTGGAAAAGTTTATGACAAGGTGCTCAGTGAGTGGTGGTGTCACAGGGCACTGTAGGGGAGGGATAGCCACTCAAATAAGAAACGTTACCCTTAGATTCCTGGAAGAGGTGTCTTATCCTGCTCTTTCTAGTCCTACCCAGAAATTCTCCCCCAGTCATCGATAGACCTAACTTACCTAAAAATGATCTTAATTCCATTTTTCCAAATTAAATGTCTTTAATGCACAAATGAATAGGCATTTCCCTATTTTTGTTGCTCTTCTTCAAGACCTTTCTGGCTTCTTTGTCCTTAAAGGGTGAAGATGGCCAGCATTTACAGCCATTTGAGTTGCACTGTACACCAATGACCAAATCTTTTGTTGCTCCCCAATATAAGTCATCTGTTCTAAAGAGATTAATCTTCCTCCGCCCTCATACAGTGTGCTCTCTGTCATCTCCGTGCCTTTGCTTACTCTCACAAGAATGTCCCATGTTTTGTACTTGGCGTATAACCCAATTCATTTCCTATCTTTTCCTTGAAATGCTTCCCCTGCTATGTAAGCATTCTCTAAATGCTACTCTTATCCTCTACACCATAATTTAAAGCAGCAATATATTGTTTCTGTCCTAGGTGTTTAAATCCGTTGCATTTAATATCCGAGAATTATTTCTACCTTCCGTCTCTGATTTTACATTTCTGTTTTATCGAATTGCCTCATAGATCTTATTCTAAGCCACTTTAGTGATGTTTTAGAAGTGAGCCTGGTGTTAATCATGAACTAGAGCTCAGCAACAGTTAGCAAACTTATGAATTATTCTGTGACTTACTGCATTTTAAAACTAAAGGTGTAATGCTATAAATTTTTATCATAGATATTAACATATAAAGGCTGACTAAATGTAGCTCCCGGCCTAAAATACAAGTTTATTTGGCCTCTTTTATTCTACTAAACACCTTAAATTAAACATTAATCTATTTCAACATAAGATTTTATTAAATCACAAATAGGTTATATCTTATACTTTCTGTTATTTCTATAAAATACATCTTCCTATTTGTTTAGTACATATAGTTTTTTGAGTGATTTCACAGACTTTCATCTGTGTTTATTGAATTTCTTTACTTAGCATTTTCAAGTCTTATTTCCAAATAAACAGGACAGAAAAATTTAGACTCTTGAAGTAGCTAAATCCAAATTATCCAAGAATAATTGGTCGCCTGTTGAGCTGAGTAAAATAATTTCTTTGAAATGTATTTTAACTGTGTTTCTCTGACTTGAAAAGATTTTATTAACTAACCATACACAGTCTTCTTTCTTTTATTTTCAAAACTACACAGCCTAATAGAACTTTCCCAACTCTGTTTTCACTGTGAATTTCTGTTTTAAAATGTAAGAAACCATGGGTAAAATTAAAATATATTCTAAGGAGGAAGCCAGGCTTTGAAAACAGTAAAACTAATTGTACTGTACAAATGGTTCTCAAAGTCTGATCCATACACCAGGGGCAGCAGCATCACTGGGGACTTGTTAGAAATGCACATTTTGAGACCGCCTGGGAATACCGGGTGCTGTAGGCTTGTCTACGGCCATACCACCCTGAACGCGCCCGATCTCGTCTGATCTCGGAAGCTAAGCAGGGTCGGGCCTGGTTAGTACTTGGATGGGAGAAATGCACATTCTCAGACTGACCCAAGATCTGCTAAATCAAAATCTCAGGGCTGGGGCCTAGCCATCTGTTCTCAACCCTGCAAGTGTTTCTGTGGCAGATACACACTAACGTTTTACAGCCATCACCAGCAGCTAGGTCCTATTTTATTTCATTGATTTTCTCCTTATGTGGTGATTAATTTGTTGGTTTCAGGTTACAATGCCCTTTTGAGATATGAAGGATTTGAAAACGACTCTGCTCTGGACTTCTGGTGCAATATCTGTAGCTCTGATATCCGTCCAGTTGGCTGGTGTGCAGCCAGTGGGAAGCCTCTTGTCCCTCCTAGAAGTAAGCAGTTTATTACCCTTACTGTGATATAAATGCACAGACTTAAATGCAGTTTCACTCATAGTAACATTAAGGTGATACAGAAATTAAGAATATATTTTTTGGTTTCAATTAACTTAATTGCTGGCAAGACATATTTGTTTTCTCTATTTTTGTTGCTCTTCAGGACCTTAATATTCTAAATTGCAAGGAAATTTGTTACTTTTTTTTTTAACAAATACTTTATGTAGCAATTCACTCTTCACTAAGGTGTAACTGGTTATTTCTTTTGTTTTAGCTATTCATCATAAGTATACGAACTGGAAAGCTTTTCTAGTGAAACGACTTACTGGTGCCAAAACACTTCCTCCCGACTTCTCACAAAAGGTAAAGATGGAATCTTAGAAAAGGACTGAAGTGTCAAATGAGAGCTCTGTAAAAAGGAGTAACTTTCAAGTTTTTAAGGAATTGTTTTAATTTAGTGAGCCAGAGCTGTAGTAAATATCATTATTTTTAATAGTGCAATAGTAAAATAATTTGTAGACTTCTGTCATGAATCCCAAAGAGTTTTTGTCTGCTTTTATTTCAAGGTTTCAGAAAGTATGCAGTATCCTTTCAAACCTTGCATGAGAGTAGAAGTGGTTGACAAGAGACATTTGTGTCGAACACGAGTAGCAGTGGTGGAAAGTGTAATTGGAGGACGATTAAGACTAGTGTATGAAGACAGTGAAGATAAAACAGATGACTTCTGGTGCCATATGCACAGCCCACTAATCCATCATATTGGCTGGTCTCGAAGCATAGGCCATCGATTCAAAAGATCTGGTAAGCACCTGTCATGAGAACTATTGACAGTGTCATTGAAGCTGAAGTCTGCTACCTGGTTATTTTTCTCTACAGAATAGTATAGGTCAAAGATAGCATTCTAGTTGTCTGGGCAGCTTATTCTACCGTAATCGAGAAGCTTCACACAGAATATTTGTGTCCTAATTCCTTCTTCCACTCATCTTCAATTAAAAAATAATGCACTTCTGGTCACAACTACATTTGTTTTCTTACATTTTTCTTATCCACCCCATTTGAAAGATCTAAACCTTTATCCTTTCTCTTTCCATTCAATTTTAATCAAAATAGCAGAATTACATGTGGTTAAACTTAATACTGAACACATTAAAACACACTTAACGTTATAATGCCCTCATTAGGGAATTATCAGCATTCTAATTGGCTGAGTGTACTTAATGGCACATGTACTCTGAAGAGAGAAAGACTATTAAAGGTTATTAATCATAAATGTAGAAGGCATATATTTTTGCCATGTTTTAGAGTATACATACCTTGTGAGTTTGAAACCTTCAAAGAAACGTGGTTTTTGGTCTTCTCACAAATGCTGACAGATTAGTATGTAACTTTTCCTTGTAGATATTACAAAGAAACAGGATGGACATTTTGATACACCACCACATTTATTTGCTAAGGTAAGAAGTTTTTATAAGAACCCTCATTTGTAAATTATGTTTAAAAGAGGGTTGTGGGGTTTTTTTCCTAAAATTATAGAAATCACAATTACATATGTTCGCTTAAAAGGATTAAGACCTTGTAATTCATAGGTGTCACAACTATTGATTATAATTATTTTTAAATTCTGTCTGTTTGCCTGAATTCTCTCTGTTCCCTAATGAAAGTCTGCATTAAAATATTAGGTAGGTAGGAGAAGGCATTTGGTATTTCCATCTGGTAAACCTTTTCAAATTGGTAACACTTTCATTATTAAAATGATAATATTTGTAACAGTGATGTGCTTTCCTGTAATTCTTTAGGTAAAAGAAGTGGACCAGAGTGGGGAATGGTTCAAGGAAGGAATGAAATTGGAAGCTATAGACCCATTAAATCTTTCCACAATATGTGTGGCAACCATTAGAAAGGTACAAGAATGGGTTTTAAAATACAGGAATGCAGTTATAAGAACTGTTTTGGGGTTTTTTTTGGTTTTTTTTAAATATATTTTTATTGATTTTTTACAGAGAGGAAGGGAGAGAGATAGAGAGTTAGAAACATCGATGAGAGAGAAACATCGATCAGCTGCCTCCTGCACATCCCCCATCGGGGATATGCCCGCAACCCAGGTACATGCCCCCGACCGGAATCGAACCCGGGACCCTTCAGTCCGCAGGCCGACGCTCTATCCACTGAGCCAAACCGGTTTCGGCAAGAACTGTTTTTAAAGTTACAGGAGAAGGAGGCCCCTAATAGAATTCTTTTTGACATAAAATGTGTGTGTGTGTGTCTTCACTGGGGAGACGAGACAGTTACGAGTATTTTAAAGTGACTTTGAATTCTCTTATCAGAGGTTCTCCTCTTGTCTAGCTTGTTAAGATTGTCCTCTTGAGTCGCTGCCTTTATTTGTTGAAGTATATCCTAAATTAGAGGAAAAATATTTAAGTTACTTCCTGGTCCAAACTAGTCCAACACAGAATTGTAACAAGGCCAAGTTTATCTTCAGTTTCCTGTGTTAACTTTTTGTGCCTTTTCCTTCCTTTTGGTAGGTAGTACTTTCTTTTTTTATTTTTTTTATTTTTTATTTTTCTTTTTTTCTGAAACTGCTTATAAGAAAAGATTTAAAAGAGTGGTTCTCAGTTCTCAGGCCTAAGAATCCCCTGGCAAGCATTTTTCACTTTTAAGAAATCTTTTATGTCATAGATTTTCCTTTCCTTTAGTATGTTACTTAAACTTAAAGGGTCATTTTTGTAATAGTGGTGTCTAGCCCTAACTGGTCTGGCTCAGTGGATAGAGCCTCGGCCCGCAGACTGAAGGGTTCTGGGTTCGATTTCGGTCAAGGGCATGTGCCTTGGTTGTGGGCTGGATCCCCAGTAGGGGGCGTGCAGGGGGCAGCTGATTGATGTTTCTAACTCTCTATCCCTCTGTAAAAATCAATGTTTTTTAAAAAATAATGGTGTCTAATTTCAAATACTTGGAATTCTTTTCATTTAAAAGGTGCTGGCTGACGGATTCCTAATGATTGGGATCGATGGCTCAGAAGCAGCAGATGGATCTGACTGGTTCTGTTATCATGCAACCTCCCCTTCTATTTTCCCTGTTGGTTTCTGTGAAATTAACATGATTGAACTTACTCCACCTAGAGGTACTTCATCCTAATACACATACTGGGTTTTCATTCTTGCTTTCCTTTTATGTGATATCTGTTTACAACATTTAACACAGCCCTAGGCTTCTTGCTGTGTGAATATCTATGTATATATTGCATATATGAATATATGCACACACCGTAAGAGCTGTGAGATGGTCTAAAATCAAAGCACTATATTCCAGGTAGCTTTAATAAATTGTTAGTATAGAATTTTTTCTGAGAATCCATATACTTTATAATATGAATTTGTATTCTCAAGCACTGTTGAAATGGTGATTAAGCTCAATAGGCTATTGCATACATTTAACTGGTTTTTTTAATAGATACTTTAGTGTTGAGGGGGCAAGTTTCCATTTTTAGAGTCATGTGGCTTTTTAAAAGAAGGTAGAACCTTAAATAGCTCTTGTGGCTTAACTAACAACTTCTCTGATTTTAACACCTGAGCCTATGGTTTTTCTTTTAAGAAAAGAAGGGGCGGGGTGGGGGGGAGACAAACCCAGATGAATAGCATTTGTTCAGTGAGTTTTCTTTCTTGTAAAGAAAAGAATGTCGCTGGAAGGTGTTAGATTCTGGACTCTTCTAAGCCTAGGGTTGAGAAAGCAGAAGTCTGTAGTTCCTGTGGTGTCAGAGGAAGGGAGAGTCGCGTTTGCGTTAGGATAAGTGGGTATACCAGGGTCTGTCTAGAAAAGAAGGAAAACCTTTATAACATGGAGGAGCTGTGAGACTCAGCAGTATCAGAGCGAGAATTATAACCTCAAACCTGAGCCTGTGCTGAATTGCTTGTTACCTGCTTTTAGTATTATGCTAATTTTAAATGAACTGCTACTTAAACCAATTGTGTCCCACAGGTTACACTAAACTTCCTTTTAAATGGTTTGACTACCTCAGGGAAACTGGCTCCATTGCAGCACCAGTAAAACTATTTAATAAGGTAAATTTCACTGATGGCATGATTATGTGGAATTGTACACAAAAATGTACATCATTATTGAGGAACTATCTTTGCTTTTATTAGAATTTCTTAGTGGACATTTATATATATATTTTTTTATTTTTGTTATTTTTTTCTTTCCTTTTTTTTTTGAGATTTATATTTTAAAAAATAGAGAGTAATAAAACAATATAAATACTTCCTTTACCTAGGAAGTGAAGCTTGTTTCCAAACAGGGTTTCATTTTTTAATCTGAGTAACATAAAAATGAATACGTGGCCTATCTAGTTCTTAAATGCTTCACCTTCACACGTTTCAATGACTAAAGAATTATTGGGGAATTTTTGGTTTAAATTACATTATGTGGTTATGTTGCTTTCTTTCTTTCCCTGTCATAGTGATACTGGAGTTATGCATTCGTCTTCTCACCAGTATTAATGTTTTGCTTCTCCATGTCAGGATGTTCCAAATCACGGATTTCGTGTCGGAATGAAGTTAGAAGCAGTAGATCTCATGGAGCCACGTTTAATATGTGTAGCCACAGTCACTCGAATCATTCATCGCCTCTTGAGGATACACTTTGATGGATGGGAAGAAGAATATGACCAGTGGGTAGACTGTGAGTCTCCTGACCTCTATCCTGTAGGGTGGTGTCAATTAACTGGATATCAACTACAGCCTCCCGCATCACAGTGTAAGTTGGTATACAGAAAGGTGTCCTTTTGTAAGTCAGCAGTTCTTCTGTGGACTGTCTCACAATGCTCATCTTGTGAGCTCACAGGACAAGAATATACCTATGTCTGATTGGTTGCCAGGTAAGATCTTAGGACTCAAAAACAGTATCACAGAATTAGAGCATGTGTACCATGGCCGTGCAAACCTCAATAGTGAGTTTCCTAATGACTATAGAAACACAATAGTAAGAGCACTTACCACATTAAAGTAGGCCTATTTTAATGAGTTTAAAATGATAGGCCAATAATTTACTGGAATATGGTAAGTGCTTATTGAACAGATAGTGGAATCTGTCTGGTATTGAGGTTTATGGTTTTATCAGAACAAGCACTCTTATTTTCAAAGCATCATGTAATTTTACAAGTATAACAGTTCTTGGTAAAGATAGTTCATTTAAGTTGTACCTATGGTTAGTGGTAAGCAATTATCTTGTACCAATTTTCCCTTTTATCTTTCAGCGACAAGAGAAAGCCAATCAGGTTCATCAAAACAGAAGAAAAAGGCTAAGTCCCAGCAGTACAAAGGACATAAGAAAAGTGGGTCGCCACATGGTGTTTATATACATTTCCTAAATTGTTAGCCAACTGGGGTCACGGTGTTTTTGCACAAAAAGTGATACCCCTTGTGAGAGCTGGTGACTGTGCGTTGTGTATTACACTTAAAGGTGCAGTATGCCATAAAAGGCAAACATTTGCAATAATGAGAACCACATATTTTAATTGACAGGAAAAATGATTATAACATATATGGTAAAGAATAGAATCTACAAATGATTCTTGAAATAATATGTTAACCTACTGGAAATTAATTTTAAAAAAACATTTTTATTTAAAAATTTTAATAGCAGATGCTTGATGCTTATAAATAGACTTGGAGCCTAATAAACCCAAAACTCTTATAAAACTAAACTCTAGAACAGTACTTATAAGAAATTCAAGTGGATGGCTAGCAAAGTCAAACTTAAGAAAATTTTTTTAAATCTGCTTTTTCTATTTTACCTTACAATGAATGGTTACTGGGGTTAATAGCCAAATATATTGATAGCTCTGATTCTTTTTCTTTTTTTTTTTTTTACTGATTTTATTACAGAGAGGAAGGGAGAGGGATAAAGAGTTAGAAACATCGATGAGAGAGAAACATCGATCAGCTGCCTCCTGCACACCCCTTACTGGGGTTTTGCCTGCAACCAAGGTACATGCCCTTGACCGGAATCGAACCTAGGACCCTTCACTCCACAGACCGATGCTTTATCAGCCGGTCAGGGCTAGCGCTGATGCTTTTAAAATCTTTTTTCTCCACCATAGAGAGCCACAGATTCTCTTCCTGAAGTTGGTCATGGAATATTTCATTCTAAGATACAATTTTTTTTATGGAAAGATATTTTTAAAAGTAAAAAGTACATTTGAAGGTTAAGACTAAGTCAGTTTTTTCCCAACTGACTTGCCGTAACTTCAAATAAGTGCTAATCTGTCTCAGCAACCAGGAGACTGAAGAAGCATTAAAAAAATAAATAAATATGTCCTAACCTTCCCGGTCATAGTTGTTGGTTTATAATTCTTCCTGTGGGAACTTGAAAACTTCTACCAACCACTGCACTGGTGCTTTGGTTTCCTTCCAGCACAGAACCCAGACCCGCCTCACAGGAGTGAGAACTTCTAGGCCTGTCTCTTACCCTCTCTTCTGTATTGGAGGCATGGGTTTCCCAGCGGCCCCGAGTTATTTTGCCCACTAGCTGCTTGCCGTTTGATACTCAGACTGCGAGAGCGTTGCCAGACCAGGCCGGCCAAAGTGATTTCCCATTTATCTGGAAATGACGAGGGAGAATTCACCGGGAACTTGGGCAGTGGACCAGCCGTGGTGGATGTGAGCACTAAGCTTTCTGTACGGTTGACGAGCGTGGGCTGCTTGAGCTGTCTTTTCTCTTTCTATTGGACAAGACTTTGAGATTCCAGAAATTTCTTTCCAAGATGTTGAATGTCAGAATGTTTTTTATCACTCAGTGGTTATGAGACGATATTTTTCACTACTAGTTTCTGACTATTGTATACGCAATTCACACGCCTCTCTAGTGTGGCACTTGGAGGGTTTGTTTCTGGCTTATGGAGCCTAATGTGGTAGGAACATAGGAAGAAATATGAAGTGATAATATCAGTACCCCAGTTTTTAGTGACATTTAACATTATCAGATTGCTGGATTAGCTGGGAAAAAAGAATTGAGCTATAAATGTATGTGTTCTTTAACCTTTTAATTGCTCATGTTATGGCATGATCTCTGATGTCTTTTTTTTCCTATCTAATGTCTTTAAATTGTCCTTTGGACGTAGAAGGGAAGAACTATGGTCTCAGATTCTCTTATTAGTAAACCCGTGGGGCCAGATGTGTTTTGGAATTCAGAATTCTTTGGATTTTAGAAAAGTATAGTGTGCGTAGTATACACTAATGTAGCACCCATTGCAGACTCTGGAGCATTTTATGAAGCAGAATATATATAAATATTTACATTAAATGGGCCAAATAAAGATTATAAAGAGGATCACCACATGAGGTCTGATTTTGTTTCCAAAGTTTTATAGAAACTTGGAATTTTGGAATTGAGGATAAGGAATTGTGCCACATGAATGAAGAAGAAGCAGTCTTCATTATAAGGGAACTATTTGCTCCTTTTGTTTTTTTATATTAGTCAGCAAAGTATTTGTTAGAAATTTTCCCCATAAAACTTTACTTACCAAATAAGAAAGAATTTGGGGTCCAGGAACCTAAGTCACCCATTGCATTCAGATTTATATCAATAGCAGATAGGCCACAAAACCTTTCATTTGTTGGAACTTTGCCCACAGATTATTATGTTCTGGCTCTGTTGTTTTCTTACAACTATTTGGTCTTTGTGTATCCAGAATCATCCATCAGTGTATTGGTTGGTAGTGCTTATGTCTTACAGAAATAGACAGTTGCTTGGCTTCGTTATTCTAGCTTGTTTTGTAATGAGCTGTGTTCATGCTATAAAAGGATAACTGGTAACCAGTGCTTTGGAAAATAAGTCATACTCTGCCAAGAGAGTCCTGTAGACTGTTGTGTGCATGTGCTCCGTTCAGTCTGAAAAGCCTTTTTTCCCTCAAGGTTTAGTCATTTAAGAGCCAGAAAACCAGCACTGTTTCTATGTCATCTTCAGGGGCTAGTAGTAGTAGTAGAGTTGGAGATTGTCCTGGCATTTTCACCTCTAGGTGTGTAGTGTATTAGGAAAAGTCTAAATGATGGCTGTACATGAGTTCAGTTTGGCAATTGAGGTGAATGTGTGCTCACTAATAGCTTAGTCTCCAGATCATTTTACATAGGAATACAGTCTGACTTAGATTTATCTTTTAGTCTTGATTTTGTGAAGCATAATTTCTGATTGCCCTCGCCTGGGTCATTTGTATACTCTGAAGAAAACAAATACAATTTATATTCACAGGTATATGTAAGTATTCTTCAGCTTTCATCCTGACTAATGAAGTATGCTTGGTTCAGTATTTGCAAAGTTTACAATATCTTCTTTTTTATTAATTAAAACATTGTATAAATTTTTGAAGGCTTATGTTTCCTTATGAAACTATAACCAAAGGATATTTCAAAAAAAAATTAGATTGCTTAAGAACTTGCAGGTAACATGCTTTAAATTTTAGAACTGCTCTTCAGAATAAGAAATACAAGTGTTTTCCACACTTGTATTGTACACAAACAATAGCGTGGTGAAGGCCTGGGTCTGGGGTCAGGGCGGGCTAGAAGGGGTGAATGGGGGTAGAAGGGAGAGAATGTGTAATACTTTCAACAATAAAGATGTTAAAAATAATTTTAAAAGGGCGCTATTGCAAGTAATCCCTTACTGGGGTGCTGTTCTCAGATTGCCCACAAGAGGGCACTATTTCAACTAATCCCTAACTATGGTGTTGTTCTCAAAATGTCCACAAGAGGGCGACAAGAAATAATCGTGTTTTCTAAAATTGCGTATTATAAACCAAAAGTTAGGGGAGCACATATCATATCAGTAAAACCCTGCCATCCAGATAATATATTAAACTGTTTCTCTCCGAAGGTCGGTGTTTGGGCATATATAGGCAGTGAAATGCTACCCCATGAAAACAATTGAAAACTTAATAAGTTTTTATTGATTTTATTTTTTAATATATTTTTATTTCAGAGAGGAAGGGCGAGGGAGGGAGAGAGAGAGATAGAAACATCTATGATGAGAGAGAATCATTGATCAGCTGCCTCCTGCACGCCCTCTACTGGGGTTGGAGCCCACAACCTAGGCATGTGCCCTTGACTGGAACTGAACCCAGGACCCTTCAGTCCACAGGCCAACACTCTATCCACTGAGCCAAACCAGCTAGAGCAATTTTTATTGATTTTAGAAAGAGGGAGGGAGAGATAGAAACATTGATGAGAGAGAAACGTCAACATCAGTCAGCTGCCTTTTGTGCACCCCTGGCTGGGGATCCAGCCCACACCCTGGCATGTTCCCTGACCAGGAATCCAACCTGTGACCTCCTGTGCATGGGTCAACACACTCAGCCACTGAGCCATGCTAGTCGGGCTTATAAAACTTTGTTTATTGATTTTTAGAGAGGAAAGGAGAAAGAGAAACAAACATCAATTTCTTGTTCCACTTATTTATGCATTCATTGGTTGATTCCTGTATGTGCCCTGACCGGGGATCAAACCCACAAACTTGGTATATCGGAACTACAACACTAACCAACTGAGCTACTCAGCCAGGCTAAACCCTCTCTCTCTTGCATAGAATTTTCAACTCCTCTCAAGCTAACAGTTTTGTGAAGGAAATTAGCCAGCCATTTTCCATACTAGTAATGCTCTCTCTAGTTCATTTTGCTTTCTTTTGTTTTAAATTTATTTGAGAGTCAGGAACCAGGATCACCAGACTCTCAAAGTCTAGATATACCCTCTCCCATTATCTACCCCCAACACACACACACTCCTTGTTTTTAGAAATAAAAATCTTGCATAGTTCTCTTTTCAGAGTATCTTATGCAGCAAGACTTTTCCTAGTTATATAATGCACTTTTCTTGCCCGGCGTGTAAGTAAAAGCTTACTTTAGTTTGACTTGATATTTAGAGAGGAAGATGCCAATTGGGAAGAAGCCTGTCAGTTTGTCGAGCCTGCCCATGACAGGTGGGGTGCGGAGGAGCTTCTCTGGTGACGAAGAGTTGACTCCTCCTCCATATCGAACCCTGCCAGCACAGACAGCCCTGGAGGCCTTCCCACCTCCCAGCACTAGCCAAGAGTTCAGTCCCAGCCTCAAAACAGGTAACTAGTGGCCTCACACCTCAGGTACTGCAGAGGGCCAGGTCTGGGCAGGGTGGTGGGAGACGAGGTCTGGCATGCCAGGTGCGGACTCATTAAGTTTTTCATTTCTTTCCACTGAAAACTTCATTTTCACTAGTCCTCCTCGATAGTCACTTCACTCCTAGTGAAAGATGAGTCATCAGGGAAAGAAGGTTTTTTATCTTGTTATAAACCATTTCTGAGCTTTAAATTAGGGTAAAGTTATACTTTCAGTTTATGGAATTGTTAGCCAACTTGGATTAGTTCATGGTTTCATTGAAATAGTTGAACATTTGCCTTACAGAGTTCCATTTGACTTGACGGGGGCTGGGGGGAGAAATGTGCCATTAGGGATCTATCTGATTAATCAAATCCAAAGGTGAGGCTTTGATCATAGCATTCCATAGCATCTCATTCATTAGAAAGGATGTATTTTGTGTTTCAGTATAATCTTGGTTCTGGTGATAACATTTACCACAATCTTTAGTTGAAGTAACATGGACTTGGAAATACAGAACCCGGCTAATTTTGGTGTTGAATTTTAGTGAAATTTGTTTCCATAATTTCATGTTTACTTACGTATAATGATTGAGTTGTATTTCATTTGAGTTTAATTGGTTAGGCCGAGTTGGTATGTTGTTAGGAAGACTACAGAAGGTTTTGCACTCCGACAGACTGCATTTGCATGGGATGAACTATAGTGGATGTGAGCACAGGTCAGATGGCTGAGAACCACAGCTGTGTCCGCCTTGGCATACATATCTTCTGCCACATCCTAACTGTTGCTTTAAACCAGGTGGTTTTACCTGACCCGCATTGTTTAAAACGCCTTTTGTACATTGAAAACTAAGGTGGGACTGATACCTGCTTTCTTCTCATTCCTCTGTTTGCTAATTTATTTATTTGATTGGTTGGTTGGTAATATTTTTGCACCTCAAGTTATCAGCCTTTTTTTTTTTTTTTTTTTTTTTTGCCATTTTAATAAAGATGTGTTCTTTAGTTTTTGCCTAACGGTGTTATTAGGTCATCTTGATCCTTCCCAGTCTGTTTTCTCTGAAGTCCTTATAGCGAGAGGAAATTACACACACATATGTGTACATATGTAATAGATTAGGACTGCAAACCCAAGTTTATCTGCTCTTTAACGGAAGAAACTTCAAAGTCTATCTAAAGAACATTACCGTTTTCTTTCTTGTTTGTCTCTTTAATTGTATCTTTTTGTACTTGTTACATATGAAATCGTCTTCTTCAACGTATGTAATTAACTATAGATATTGTGAGCTCTGGATGTATTTGAATTTTTATTGGACTTTAATTGTATTGTCTTTAGGAATTAGACTGATTTTGAAAATGGGCGTCACGTTTTGTGAGCGGTGACTGGTTCGTGTAAAATGAAACGACTTCTGGGATTGGCAAAACCCAGGAACTAGCTAGATGCCTGTGGTGGGAACTCAGGCCTCAGTGGTTTCCTTCTCCCACCAGTGTCTGCAGTGTCCTCTGAGCAGGGGCACGTCTGTGGGACCCACGTGGTCTTACTCTGGCGAAACAGGACTACGATGTCTGAACTGTGTCAGAGCTGCGGTTGATTAGCTGTTGAGTTTATTATATTTACGGGCTTCTTGCTAGGAAAATGTGATTCCCATTAGTGTGTCTCCTGAAATGTTAATGACTAGAGTCAGCAAAGTGACTCCTTTTAAAAATAGAGCTAAGGAAAAGTGCATTTGTGTAGAAAGTGAAATGTAGCCACAGGATCTATTTTATTTCATCCATCCTTCATTGAGAATAAGACCTGGAAAGGAGAAATTATTAGTGTGAAGATACCAGGCAGGCTTTATTTTAGGTTCCATTAAAACAAAACCTGCATTAGAACATTCCACATCTGAGTGAATGTTTCACCTTTATCTTGAGTTAACTTTTTTTTAAGCATATTGTTTCCATATTTTAACATGAGTAGAAGCATAATCCAGAAATTTGGTGTTAATAATAAATGCACATAGTTTCAGGATGTGCTTTAGAATCTCAATTTACCTTTCTTGCATTTAAAAAATCAACATCGGTTTGAATGGAACATGTTTGGTCTTGAAGCACGTTAATTCTTTTTCATTCATTTAGCCATCTGATCATCATATAACAAGATACTGTTTTAATCAACCTTTTATTGTGGGTACTGCACCTTTAATGAAACTTGGGTTTTTTGGTTTTTTTTTTTTCTTTTTGTGTGTTTATTTTCATGGTATTGTTCAGATGTCCTTAACAATTAATGCATGTTGGTTAGATTTAAAGGATATATACTTGCTGTTCTTCATAAAAGCATTTTTATTAAGTACTTTTTTAAAGAAAGGAAAACTGCATAGTCTTGTTTGCTTTACCTTTCAACAGTCTGATTGGTATTTGTTTTGCTATTATTAGGGTATAGTATATTCACTTTTCTGTCTTTGGGCTATTGAGTTTTTTTAACATCATTACCAAAACAAGTAACAAAGTAAAATAAGATGAATTGGCATCTCTGTAACAATTATTCTTTTAATTATTAAATAAGATATCAAAGACCATTATTTTTGAAACTAATCTTTTGTAACTAAAATCAAGACATGGTATTTTTCTATGCATACACTATTTACTCCTCTGTGAAAACTTAGTTGGCTTACTACTCATCTAAATAGAGCCCTCATTCTCCTCATAAATCAACTGTTTTTTCTGTGTAAGCAGTTCCCACTTGACATTCTATATATACACATCCCCTCCAATTGTGATGAAAAGATCCATAATGGAGGATACAGAGCACTTTTTTCCTTTTCTGTGAGCCTGTGCCTGCAGAAAGCAAGCAGGTTTCCTCCGTGAGCCAGACATGGTGACACGGGTGTGGGAGCCCTGTGCTGCCAGTGCTGCCAAGATAGCAGCAGCCAGCCGCCCCCACTGCACAGAGCCCTCCCCAGTGCTGGTCTCATGTTGCCAGAGTTTTGTGTGAAATCTCTTGGTTTCAAAATAATCAAATTTAAAATGAACCAAGGGACACAGGTAAGATGGGGAAAGCACAGTTTGTTGCCTCTGATTTAGCAGATCTGGGCGAAGAAACTTAGCATTGCTCACCATGGATTAGGTTCCAGTGAGTATGCTATACAAGATCACCTGTTCTTGAAATTCTATGAAACTTGACCAACTCAATTTTGGTTCAACAATAACTTTTTAAGAAACCTGAACACAACTCTTGAAGGTTGGCTGTTATTAAGACTTATTTTTAACACCTAGCTGAGATCTTTTTTTCTTTTTAGAGAGAGGAAGGGAAAGAGAGAGACATCATCTGGCCTGCCTCCCATACGAACCCTAACTGGGAATCGAATCCCCAACCTGGGTGTGTGCCCTGACCAGGAACTGAACCTTCACCTTTTGACGTGTGGGACGATGCTTCAGCCAGCTGAGCCACCTGGCCAGGACTTGGGGTCATTTTTATTTAAAAAGTGGGAAAGTGATTTTTGGAAGGAATGAGTTCTGTAGGAAGTAGGGGTAGCTCTCAGGGAAAGGAATTAGAACAGTCGGAAGTTACTGAGTAATTATGCCAAGGGACAGCCATTTAACTTGAGGGGCTTATAAAAAGAGTTAGCAAAATCCCATAATTAAACAGCTAATTTTTGCTTAAGACCAGTGCTGGGCCCTGACTGGTGTGGCTCAGTTGGATGGCATCGGCACGTGTACCAAAAGCTTGCTGGTTCATTCCCAGTCTGGGCACATAAAAAATATTTTAATGACCCAGGACTGGGTCCGTAAAAAATGTTTTTATTTAAAAAAAAGACCATGCCCTAACCGGTTTGGCTCAGTGGATAGAGCATTGGCCTGCGGACTCAAGGGCCCCAGGTTTGATTCCGGTCAAGGGCATGTACCTTGGTTGCCGGAACATCCCCAGTGGAGGGGGTGCAGGAGGCAGCTGATCGATGTTTCTCTCTCATCAATGTTTCTAACTCTCTATCCCTCTCCCTTCCTCTCTGTAAAAAAAAGACCAGTGCTGGACCCAGCAAGGAAAATTTTTTTTGTCTTCATCCTTGCCCATGTAATAGAGCCTTTCTGTCACTAGAATTTCTGACTAGCATGATTTGAGTGGCTATCCAGAAATCTAAACTCCACTGAAAATATTGGAAACTGAAAAATAATTCTCCATAAAAATAAAGACCAATTAGAACGTGACCTATTTGTAAATTGAGGACTGCCTATACAGTTGGTTATTTTGTTTTTGGTTTGTTTTTCATTAAAAAGCAAATCATCAGATGAGAACTCAGGCAGTACTGCCATTAAGTGAGCCCATTGGTAATGTTAGCCATTTTGCACCAATTATTTTCAAATTGCCGATGTCAATAAATTTTTTATTTTACCTAACAATCAGTTTATTTTATTAGTATGTTATTTATATACTTTATATTCTATTTATATTATAGGTAATACTTTGTATTTGTATATCAGATTTATATCTCTTTTCCACCGGGAGTCTTTTTAATAAAGGTACTCCTTGGAGTTAATAAGATTATATTAAAGTCATATTTATTGTGGTGTTAGTTTTTAAAGATAGCTCAGGACCATGCAAGATAATAGAGCATTGTTTGTATAGACATTGACATAAAAGTGAATACTTAACCATAAGAAAAATTTTAATTATTCTAGTCAAATTAGGGATCTCTCTTATCTTGACTATTTTGTTGAAGATATCTATTGTTGCGGTGTCCACTATGCAGTATTCTATTTTGGAACTTTCCTTAACTGCTAATATATTTTGAAAATTAAAATGTTTGTACTTCACCGTAAAGCTGGTGGAACCTGAAGATTAAAAGCAGTCTGAATATTCCAGAAAGGCTTAGTGACATCCCGTACCTTGGTCTCTCTCACGCAGTGACTACATTGCAGCTGAAGGAGGAGTTGATAGATGGAGAGGACTACAGTTTCCTGCAAGGAGCATCTGACCCGGAAAGCAATGGCTCTGCCAACTTCTACATCAAGCAAGAGCCCTGAGGGGGCTCAGGAACGGAGGGTGGGAGGGAAGTTTCCACGGGACTGATTTGTAGTCCACCCAGCTATACGCGGGGCTGTTCTACTGGGACATTTTGCTAAACAGAAAATTTCAGTTCCGGATTTTTCAGGTGGGTGGGGAAACTATTTTAGTCGTGGGGGGAAATTTTTCAATTTATAAAGATGAACAATTTTTGTGTTGTATTTGAAGATTTTGAAAGAATTTTGTAATATTTTACACGTTTGGATTTATGTGCATTGTTAACAAGAACTGAAATTCTAACTTTTTTGGTAAGATAAAAGTTTAGGTAGCAGGACTGAAAGAAATGATTTAAGAAGGATATAGTTGTAAATGCAAGTGAACTGTCAATACAAATGAACCTTTTTGGTACCTGTTGGGAGATTTGGGGATTTTAGAAGTTCGGCCAGTCACATCTCCAGCTTCCTTTGCTGCAGAAATATGCAACTGAACCCCTCCTGGAGGGGTTGTCACCAAATGGATCATGGAAGGGTGATTAATTCTGCTTGACTGCATTTTTATTGCAGGCCATTTTAAATGTTTGTACAGAAATGTTTTTCATTCTGTGAACATTTATTTGGAGTTCTATATGAAACTGGAAGAACTCTGGATACTTTTCTATGTTCTCCTTTAATTAAAAAATGATAAAAATGATCCTAACACTAAAGTGTTAAACTGGAATGGTTGACCAGATATACAGGATGTCATTCTACAAGTTGAGGGGTAGGGAAAAAAGCAATATTGTTCTAAGTTTATTTTATTTTCCTTACTAAAAACTACCCCACAAAAGGGATTTTGATTAGTTCTCTGCCACTTCCCTCCATCTGTGAGATAATACTTGGTATAACCACACCCCAAAACAGATGTTCTGTATTACCAGGAGAATCAAATTCAAAGTTGTTTAAAGCCAAAATAAGTTTGGATTTCAAAATCATTCCAGCTCTGCTTTTAACTATCCTGGATTTGTTAGAAAACTAATTTGAAAGAGAATTTAATTTTCTTAAAATTCCATATATATCTATATAGTATGAGCTGTCTTTACTTGTGTTCAGAATTAGTTTTAACAATAATAACTGATTTGGACCATTTTGAACATTCCCTATTTTAAAATTCGTATGGCTTCCTTTCAAAAAAGGATCTAAGGGTAAATTGGTGAAAGGTTTGCTCTCTGCATTTTCTAATGTTGAGTTGTGACTGAATGAGAGAGCTCTAGCGTTTACCAGTGAGGTTCATAAACTAAACTCTCAGGAATTATTGCATCTGTTCTAGAAGTGCTTCTGGGTCTTAGCCTGGCCTCTTCAGAGTGGTGATAATGACCATCTCCTCTGGAATATAGGTAGGGCTAATTAGAAATTAATCAAAATGATTAAACTCTACAGTCCTTCAACCTATGGAATGCTTTAAAAAATGTTAATGGAAAGCCCCAGGAGACATTTAGGTAAGATTTTTGTTTGAATTTTAAAATGCATAGAACATTAAAAACCAGCAATTTATTTTCTAAAATAATGCTCTACTTTTGGGAATAATAGCATTGGTAATACGCACAGGTTTACCTCATTCTATGCAAGAGGGGTTTAACATAAGGTTTTGTAGTTGCTACTGGAAGTAAAATTTGTTGCTTTATTAATGTAAGAATGTATGGAATCGCATGTCAACATTTCTTAATACTGACTCTTTAGGGGCGTAAATGCAGATCATGTCAACGCCAAGTTGATCCTCATGTGTCAAATATATGTGAAATTCCGCTGTTAGATTACTGGATGTTTATCTTAAACAACATTACTGAGAGGGACCTACTGTAAATGTGACATCCTCACACTTCCCAAATCTTTAACTTTTGAGGATCTTCCCGTAAACTTAACGCCTAGAAGACTTCCAAAGCAGGAGTTACAACCATCTTCATCCTCAGACTCAGTGAATTAAACCCAGGACTCTGATTTCATGAGATGGGCACGAGAAGCCTGTTGGATGGCTTGCTCTTCCAGTACCTTGGGCTCAGAGGCTCAGTAGGGAACTGAGTTAGTCAGGAGGGATTTGATTTGGAGCCTGGTAATTAGTTCTGTGAAATGCTCGTTTGTTTATAAGCTTCCGGTTCTAGAGCAAAGCCAGGCTCCGAGCGCTTTTTAATTTCCCGCCTGTTCGTGAAGGTGGTTCTTGTCTTGATCCCATGGCCACAGTTAAAGGTTGGTAGGACTTCCTACGTCTCAATACAGTCTGAAGCCCTCTTTGTTGTTGAGACTCTTTAACTCCTGCTGCCAGTGAGCAGAAAGTAAGTTCATGCAGAGGAGATTTCTGTATCAGCCATAACTCCAGTTGTACAACTCGGCCCCATTATCTTTTACGGTTCAAAATGTACTGCTGACCTTGGGTTTGTTTTTGTTTTTTTCCCTGTTAGGATTATTTGGGGCTTTTGGTAGTTTAAATTCTTTAACCTTTTCTTTGCTGTGTATGAAGAAAGCTAAAGCTGTTATCAACTTCTTTTTCTACGGATACTAACACGGGTTTTCAGTGTTTGTTTGTTGTTATTATTAATTTTGCGTGATGTGAATACCCTCTCCCATCAATATTTGTATTATGGTGCTATATATTTGGTAATGATCCTTTACTATTGGGAAGGGATTTTAAAAATACTGTGATTAAACTGGGTTTCTTCCTTTGATTTTCATATTTTAAATAAAGCCACAGTCATTTATACAAAAGAAAAGCGTCTGTCCCTGGGCAAGTCTTTGGAGGACAGAGGTCAAAGTAAACTGCATAAGGTTTTTACATCATTTCTGTATGTATTTGATATATAGACCAATATCTGTACAGATTTAATCTTTTATTTTCTTGGTAACTTGTGATCATTGAGAAAGTATTTGAAACTTTCTCAGGAAGTGTATATAATGGCGTGAAAAATTCTTCGGAGAAATTTATGTTCCTTTCATTTTTACCAAATTGCAAATTTCCAGCATGAATGTGAAAGCATTAAAATTATAACTTTGTGTACAAGATGAAAATAATTCACTAAATTTGCCCTTTTTTACACAAAATAAACAATGTTAAACTTAAGTTGTATTTGAGCAATTCTTTAATACTCTTTGGTCTTTGAGAGTTTTTTTTCTTTATTAAAAATATTGAGTGCCTTCTGTAAGCAATCAGAGGCCCCTGTGAAAGTCAGACCAGCTTCTTCCTCACGGCCCCGGCAGTTGAGTGAGGTGAAGGAAGTCCATGAGTGAGAGAGAATGTACTCCTGGCCGACAATGAAGGAAGAACACGGGTGGATATATGGACAAGGATGCATCCGACCACAGCGGAAGCAGAGGTGAGTGTGGACCACTTAGGGATTTACTGTATTCATTTGTGTGTGTTTTTTTTTTTGTTTTTAATGTTTAACATCTTAATACAGATCAGGGAGTCTGGTTCATTTCAGCTCCTTCACTGCCAAACCTGGGGGCAGGGACTACTTCAGTTTCTTGCCTTCTCTTTGTGATGACCAAGGTTATAAAAGTATCTGCAGCTTCAGACTTTAAATTTCACATTATCTTTCTTTTTCTTGATCTTGACATATTCGGCATCCTTTCACCTGGCTGTGAGCAGGAAGTTCCTGATTGCCTCGATTTTGCAATGCCTGTCTCCAAGGTGCGGAGAACGCAAGACAGGCACCTCAGATGACCCCCCTGCTCCCTGGGTACCATCCAAGAGGCCAGAGAGGAATTACATAACATTAGCTGGCACGTGGTGGTTCAGGGGTGACTTGCTTGCTAGGGGGCTTTTGTTTCAAGCTCTGTTAACCGCTTAAGCAAAGTTCATAGGATGTAAATAAATTGTCCCAGCCAGCTGGCGCTGTTTACATCGAGAGAGAATACAAGGACCTCTTCCTTACCAACGACTGACTCTTTGGAAAATTAATCAACTTCTGCAAAAGCAGTTTGTAGAGGATTTTCTGGATGTAAGATAGTAATGAGATGGCTTGGGTCTCTTTCAGAGTTTATTTAATCACACTTTAGAAAAATAGAAGGCATTCCAAGAAAACCGATGCGGAACCTAATTTCTGCCGTTTCCTACCTTAAATGGTTTGAACAGTTGCCCTAGAAAGTTGGAATTCCCAGATTGGGACACATTTACTATCCCACAAGCTTTGATATATATGTTCTTTCAGTTTTTATATGTATATATTCTTTAAACCATTATAGCCTCTTGGGGAACTATTTTCCTGATGTGCTTTATGCCCAGGATTGTGTTTTAAGAGCATCCAGTGCTTCCCCCTAACAAGTCAATGTTGAGCTTTGTGTTATTTATCCAGCCCCTGGGATTGGGAGAACAGTGACTCTATTTCCTCTCTATAGACTGTTACTGAGGCTGGAGTAACGCTTGTGGGCCTATTAAAAGTGTCTGGCCTCTCAAGCAGGCAAAAATAAGGATTGCCTACTGCCAACAAATACATGAGAGTGTAAAAAAAGTAATTATTTTAAATACAGGGGTGGGTGACAGGTTTACAGTTGTAAGTACATGAAACAGTTTATTATTCATTATTGTATTTTCCATCTGAAGAACTGTAAGCCTACTTTTGCCCACCCATAGTGCATTTACTGTATTCAAACGAAAGCTTTCTGGAAAACATGCATGAGTGGTCCACTTCACACACCAGCTGGTATATAGGATTATGTCCCAAACCCAACCTTCCTCCCAAAGCAGTACTTTTTTTAATTTTATTTTTCAGTTACAGTTTACATTCAATTTTTTTCATTGACTCTAGACAGGGAGAAAGAGAAACAGGATGTGAGAGAGACATCGATAGGCCACCTCCCCCGACACGCCCAGACCAGGATCGAACCTGCAACCCAGGTATGTGCCCTGACCAGGAATCAAACGCACAACCTTCCATTGCATGGGATGATGCTCCAACCAACCCAGCCACACAGGCCAGGACTACATTCAGTATTCTGTCTTGGTTTTTAGTGTACAGCTTAGTGGTTAGGCAGTAATGTACTTTACAGAGTGGTCTGCCCAGTGTTTCCAGCACACCCACCTGGCACCATACCTAGTTATTGTTGACTATATTCCCTCAGAGGCAGGACTTGCAATCTCGCCAGTCTACCCTTTCTTGCACTTCTACCAGAATGAAGGCCTAGCATCCACTCCTTTCTCAGCTCTCACCACTGCAAATTTGACTTCACTTAACCCTGCAAACTCGGGACTTGCTCATGTCACGTAAAGGCAGTAAAGCACAGTGGCCAAGAACATGGAATCGGAAGCCAGCTGCTCGGATTGGAGTCTGACACCTTCCCTTCTTAGTCGCGTAAGGTGTCTCAGTTGTAAAATGGGGACCTTAGTACCAACCTCCTGAGAGTTGTAAAGATTAAAATGAATTCATGCGTCAAGTTCTTAGAACAGCCCTGGCCCAGAGTAAGCTTGCACTTAATTACTGCTTTGGATCCAAGTACCTCCGCAGTGTGCGTGAGAATCACCGGGGAGCACACATAAAGTGCGGATCCCCAGCCCCCCCCCCCCCCGAATATGGAACCTTAACCATCAAACATCACCACTTAATGTGATGAAAGCATGTACCATATATGAACACGAGATTAAATTTTAAATGGAATAATTTAGAAAATGTTAAACTTCTGACATTTTTTTACACCAAGCTGTCAGTGTATTTGCCATTGTGTGTAGCAGTATGCAGTAAAAGTAACACTCAAGTCGAAAAACAAAAAGTAAAGAAAAACCAAATAAAGGGGGGCGGGGGGGGGGGGAGTGTAACACTGAGTCTTTCATAGGGAAGTGGCATTTAGCTTTCACCAGTTTCCTAACAGAACAGTTATTCATAGACCCATGTATTTCTATAATCTCCCATTTTTAAGCCCGACTCCGGGTGATCAGTGCCATTTGGCATCAGAGGATGAATTTTGTAACCACTCTGCTGTGATGCAGGAAACAGGCGTGGTAATTACTTTACCCCGGGGAGGAGAGAGAGCCATAGGGTTGCAGAATACGTGTACCAGCAGTGGGCCAGGCACTCAGTTAACTTCTTTATATTCCTGCCTAACTTAACCCTGCCTTGCAGTGATATCATTTTACAGATGCCTCAAGGCTCCCATTTCCTCATGTATAACTTGCCCAATTTGCAATCAATAAAATGTATGTCTGGATGATAGTACGTTTTACTCTATCAAGTTTCAACAAACTATACAGAAATACACATTTCTACATCAGCAAAAGAGGTTGGGACATTTATTATGCTATTTCCTTACTGGGTTTCTTAGATGCACTACTAGTGCCACATGTGGCCCCGTGTTAGCCTCACTACTTTCCCGCTAGTCTGGAGATGCACTGAGGTGCTGAGAAGGATTAATTAGTTCCGGATAATGCTAACCTAATGTGTTCTAGCCAGGAAACCAAGTCACTTCTTCCAGCTTAGGCCGAGGAAGCACACAGGCCACACCCGTTCCCAAAGGCTTTATTGGTGGTAAATATGCTTTAGAAAAGATGGATCCTTTTGCTTCCAGGTCAATGGAATGAAGAGCTGTGTCCCGGACACATCAAGTGGAGCCAAGGGGACTGACGCTTTGTCCACCTCTTACTCATAGATCCAGTCAAAAGCACAAGACTTGTAGTCGACCAGTTCTTCAGGCTTAAACCACAGGCTGATTTCTCTCTCAGCACTTTTTACTGAATCACTGCCATGAATGATGTTCCTAAGAAAGAACAAAGATTAGTTATAGTTACATTTCAAAGTGGCAAAGGGCTGTGTGATGGATACAGCACAGGACAACCACTGCGGACCTTTTCAGCCAAATTGCCACTTGAATCGGGAAACTCTTCCAAAGTATTTCCTCTTTAAAAGCAACTATAAAAGCACTTAACCCAGCCCTAGCTGGTTTGGCTTATAGCGGATAGAGCATCAGCCTATGGACTAAAGGGTCCCAGGTTCTATTCTAGCCAAGGGTACATGCCCTGGTTGTGGGCTCAATCCTCCAACCCCAGGAGGGGGCGTGCAGGAGGCAGCCAATCAATGATTCTCATCACTGATTTTTCTCTCCCTTCCTCTCTGAAATCAATAAAAATACATTTAAAAACACTTGCATCCAATGATAATTACCATCTAATTTAGAACCTCAAATTCTTCTAAAATTGGTCTATGCCAAATAATGACTTTTATAAGTGACCCTCAGGACTTACCTGCCAACTTGAATGCAAAAGTCTCCACGAATGGTGCCTGGCTTAGAATCTGCTGGATTGGTCTCCCCAAGCATCATTCTCCCTGTCTTCACCACATTCAGCCCCTCCCAGACCTTGACAGTAGGGGAAAAGGAACATCAGGTCTGCCATTCAGGACCATTAAGAACAAACACCCCTGCCTGCACACAGCCATCAGACCCATCAGTGAATGAGCATCAGCTAAACTTCAGTAGACAGTAGGGGGCCTGCCTAAAGCGTTCCATCCAGGATACAGAGAAAAGGTCTACGCAACTGGGCAACTTTCTAGCCTAGCTGAGGTAGAAACAATACTGAGGAATCCGTATGCAGCCACAAAGACGAAGAAGGTAACAGTGGGAAGAGCATCCAGAAAACTGTTAGAGCAACAGATGGCAAAGATTGGCACGAAAGGGGGCAGTGTATTCCCGGGAAGAACAAAGAACAAAAGGTCATCCTCACGGAACAGGAAGGAGATCTACTTTCTCAATCATTTCAGTGGCTCCTATTGTACCCTCTACTTCCACTGCCAACTGGACGTTAATGCCACAGGAAGGCCTAGCCTGCTTTCTTTCTAGCTGGGAGTACACAGAACGCTCCCTGCGCTGATTCCCCTCCTTTTTCCTCCCAAGCTCCTCGCTGCTCCGTGAACTGACCTCCAGCAGCTCCAGCTGTAAAGCAAGGACACTGGAAGAGGTCTAGAAAAGCGACAGTCACTTACCATGGCCACCACGGGCCCCGAGTTCATGTACTTCACCAGCCCCGGGTAGAAGGGGCGGTCTTTCAGGTCAATGTAGTGCTGCTTCAGGAGGTCCTCCGAGGCCTGCCACCCGAGAGAGGTACCAGTTAGTGACTACACTGGGGAGGCTCGAATATGGCTCCATCCCCGTCTCAGGACCTAGTAACATGGTAGCCAATTTAGTATTTCAGCCCACATTCATAAGGTGTGTATATTTTAAAAAAAAACAAAAGCCATCCAAGCCATGAAACCATTTTACCAAAAGACTGTTCTGCTTATGACGACACCCTCATAACGTCAACGGCGTATGGATGGTATAATCTTCAAAGTAGATGGTCTGAGGGCCAAGGTGTCGGGGGAGAGCGGACGCAACCGAAATATGCGGACTGGTGGCCCTTCACAGAGCCCGTCTGAACATTTCAGATGTGAACGGGGGACAAGCTCCTGTTCCCTGAGGAGCTCGGTGAACATCTCAGGACTCAGACACTTATCCCTTAGGGTCCCGATCTGCGAGCCCCAAACTTAACGTGGGAAACCATGACTGCCCTCCGCCAAGGGAGCCTGGGCAAAGGGCAGAGGAAGGAACACCCGCCGGAAACCTCTCTCCGCTCAGGTGCAGGCTAAACACAAAAGGACGCCACGCCTCCTCCTGGGCACAGGCAGGGCCACGTGGGCAGGGGCAGGGGCGCCGGCGGCTTCGCTCTCTGCTGCCCCCCAGCGACGACGGCCACGCAGCGGCGGGTGGGAAGCCGGTTCCGGGCCGGAGTCACGTTACCTCCCGTAACCTTCCCAAGGGCGTCCGTGCCCCGGCCTCGGGAAAGGCTCGGGGGCCGGGGGTTCCCGCGGGGCGGAGGCAGCAGAGGGGCCTCCGGGCGGGAGAGCCGCGGAGCCGGGGCGCACAACCCCCGGCGCCGAGCTCCGGAGCGCGAGGGGGGGGGGGGGGTGCGTACCCGCAGGAACTTCATGGCCACGAGGCGGAACCCCTTCTGCTCGAAGCGCTTGACGATGTCGCCCACCAGGCCGCGCTGCACGCCATCGGGCTTGATGGCGATGAAGGTGCGCTCCGTGTTGGCCATGGTCCTGCGGCGAGCGGTCGGTCAGGGTGCGGGGGCCACGCCGACACGGACCGCGCCCCGGGCCCGGGAGCCCACGTGGGCGCCACCGCCCGGAAGCCCCGCCTGCCCCCCCCCCCCCCCCGCGGCGCACCAGCCCCGCCGCCGCCGCTGCGCCACGTGGCTGCCCGCACGCCCCGCCGGTCCGGCCGCTGCCCCTCCGGTCCCCGCGGAGGGCGCGCCGGGCTCCCGGGGGCGCAGGGCCTGGAGGGCCGGCTCGGACCCACGCCCCGGGATCGCGCTCCGCGGCGCAGCGGGGGGAACCCGGGGGGGGGAGGAAAAGCGCCCTCGTCGCCTTACCGAGAAGCGGGCGGGCGGGCGGGCGGCGGTGCGCAGCGGGCCGGAGCGGGGACGAGTGGAGACCACGGAGCCGGAGCCGCCCGCGGAGGCGGGGCCCGCGGCGGCCACACCCCGGAGGGCCCGCCACCCAACCCGCGGGCCGGACGCAGCCCAGGCCTCTGTCCACGCCCCTGGTTTGCCCGTGAAGCTCGGGGGCTGGAAGCGGTCGCTCACGCTGGCACGTCCAAGTCCAGCTCTCTCTCTCTCTCTCTCCCTCTCTCCCTCTCTCTCTCTCTCTCCCTCCCTCCCTCCCCCTCTTTCTCCCTCCCTCGCATGCGCCCACCAGTCCGCTCCTTCCTACCCGTGAAACCCCGTTCTCCCCTCCCCTCTCCTCCGCTGGAGCCCTGGCTCGAGCCCCGCGCCTTGCTCATTCCCAGCGACTGCCTCCACCCGGCCATCCCCGCACGAGCCTCCCTCCCCAGCGCCCGTCCGAGCCCGGCCCGCTTGGAGGATGGGTGCCAACCGCTGAGCAGCCAGACAGCCCATGCTCCCCACAGTGTGCCCGGCCCCTCTGCCTGTCGCCCCCACCCACCCACCTTCCCAGCCCCGGCAGCTGCCCTGTTCCCCCCGGAGATGAAGATGTGCCCCTGCCTCCGTGAGCGTGCGGTCAGCTGCCCACTTCAGCCCGGACACGCCCTCGGCAGGACTCCAGACTCCTGGGAATCAGGCCTGTCCTCCATCTGCACACAGTCCGCTCCTCCTCTCCGCGCCCTTTGGGGTGTGTGTGTGTGTGTGTACACCCCCCTGACCAGTTCCTGACACCCGCCCAGCAGTGACCACACCTGAAATGGTCAGAGCCGTGTCCTTCTGTCCGCAGGCCGGTGAGTGACGCTGACCAGGGAATGGCGTTATCACCCGTGGCCTGGGCGCTGTTCTGTTAGGTGAGCTGTTTGCCCTGGTCCAGGCACTAACACCTCCTTTGGGACAGTAACAACCTCTTCCCACCACTGCTTTCCTTCCTGGAACCGAGGCCCTGGACAACCCCAGGGCCATAGCCTTAGCACCATCACCGGCCCCACTCACCCACTTGAACTTTTTTTCAGCTTTATTGAGGCATATTTGATAAGTAAAAATTGTATATTTAAGACATACAATTAGATGTTCTGATATACACACAGGGGTGGGAAAATGTAGGTTTACAGTTGTTCATATGGAAAAAGACATGCAGGTTATAATCATTCCAATAATTATTACAAAAAGTAACTTTTGTGTACTCACAACTGCAAACCTGCTTTTGCCCATCCCTGTGTATCTTGTGAAATGATCACCACCAACATAACCATCATTTCAGTTACCATTTTTTTTTCTTTTTTTTGGTGTGTAGTGAGAACATGTAAGATCTACTCTCTTAGCAAATTACAGCATACAGTATTAGTAACTACTAGAGGCCTGGTGCATGAATTCGAGCAAGGGGTGGGGTCCTCCCACCAGCCCCCATGGGGCTGATCTGGGGAGGGGCTGTTTGGGGGAGGGGCCGTGAGCCGTTGGCCGGCCAGCCCCGCCCCCTGGCCAAACTCCCTGTGGAGGGGCCAATTTCCATAGTAGCCTTTTATTATATAGGATAATCACAGCACTGTACATGAGATCTCCAGCGTGGACTTTTATTTTTTTTATTTGTTTTTATATTTTGATTTTTTACAGAGAGGAGGGGAGAGGGATAGTTAGAAACATCGATGAGAGAGAAACATAGATCAGCTGCCTCCTGCACGCCCCCTACTGGGGATGAGCCTGCAAGCAAGGTACATGCCCTTGACCGGAATCGAACCTGGGACCCTTCAGTCCACAGGCCAAAGTACTATCCACTGAGCCAAACCACTTAGGGCAAGCGTGGACTTTTAAATAAAAGATAAGTAAGTTTCCATCTTGTCTCTGTTAAAGAGTCAAATCTGTGTCTTAACAAATCAAAGCTATTTACCAGACTTCTGCTTCTTTTGAGGCCATCCCAGGGACCCAGGCCCACCATCTGCCTAGCTTTTCTGTTTTGGTGTAGTTTCAACTTCTGCCACTCCCCATCCACTCAATCTCTGAGCCTCTCAAAGGCAGAAAGGATGCCTTTTATTTCCAATGAGTCCGCTGCCCCCAGGAGAGTCTTGGCAACTGTGGGGTTCAAAATGAGTTACCCCAGGATGTGCCTCTGAGGCACGTGGATAGTTTTGAGCCAAAGGCAACTTTACCTGCGGGCTCCAGAGAAACTTCTGCCTCTCCCTTAACTGCCTAGCACTAAGTTAAAGGCCTTGTTCATAAGACAACAGCGATAACATCATTGGACCTACCTGTTCGGCAGGACAAACTACTGATTCCAGAACATGTTCTCCCTGCAGTAACCTGAAGCCCCAAGGTACTTACCTTAGCCCTAGCTCAGAATGTGATATATTCCTATTTTCCCTCCTGTCTTTGAACCTCATACATGTGGGCTCTCTGACTCTGTCATACGGATGTAATTACATTTGGTTATTTCCTCTTCTTAAACTGTCTCATGTCTATTTGATTAGAGCAGCCAAAAGAGCCTTGAGGGTAGAGGAAAGTGCCTTCCTCCCCCACACAACCTAGCAGATTCACCGCACCTGCCCGGGGACTGGCTCAGTGACAAGAGTGGATGGGATGCAGGGGGAAAGGGACAGGCAAAGATCATGTGTGTGCATGTGTGACCTCTCAGGCCAATATAAATAATTAGTATTTATACTCTATTAGCTCAGGTTAGCCAGAGGATGTGAAAAGAAAAAAAAAGATTACAAAGCAATACAGCAGCACAAAGTAACCAACGCGATGAATCCTAGTTGGGGTGAGACATTTTAATCTGACGGTAGCATGTAACACTGTACAGGGAACACTCGCAGCTCCAAGGGTGTCCCTCCAGATTAGAAGGAGGTTCTCAGAGGTAAGTAGATCAGCTACAGTCTGGTCCCCTGCCGCGGGAGGGAGAGGAAACGGAGTGGGGAAAGCACTGTCGGCGGCTCTCCCGTCACTCGTAGATCCAGTTCTGAGCACAGCTCTTGTAATCTACCAGTTCCTCGGGCCGAAACCACAAGCCAATCTCCTTCTCCGCACTCTCCACGGAGTCACTGCCATGGATAATGTTCCTGAAGGGGGAGAGATGGCCACATGGCCAAGACCACAAGGTTAAGCTGCCCAGAAGCCCCTCACTCCCAGTGCCAGAAAGCCCACCGCAGCAGAAAAAGCCAACGCTCATGTCACTAGTTCACGTTAAAAGAAAAAACCCATGACTACCATTAATGTAGGATGAAGAATGCCCCCCTAGCAACATGGATGCTAGCAGCGAGAGCCTTCGGAAGGACTTTAGCCAGCAAAGTGTTGTACCAGGTTTTACCCTCCCATCAGAGGCACAACCACTGTGATGTTGACATACAGAGAGCGAGCCTGTAAAGCCAAACACCACCTTAAGAGAGAGAAACACTGAATGATTTCAAATGTTCTGCACGGGGCATCATGTACATCGCTAGCTACAAGAACCCAAATTATATGGCAACTCAGATTTTGGAAAAGGGTAAAAAGCACCAACTCCCACCTGCCAACTTGGATACAAAAGTCCCCTCGGATGGTCCCAGGTTTGGAGTCTGCTGGGTTGGTCTCCCCAAGCATCACTCGGCCCGTCTTCACAACATTCAGCCCCTCCCAGACCTTCAAAGACAAAAGAAGATATGATCAAGGAAGAAAACCCATCTCAGCAGGAAATCAGCAAACTGTTACTTCAAAAGAAAGGTAAAAAGCCCCTGTGATCTGACATTTATTCATTGAGCAAATTATATATATGGGGGGGGGGGGGGGGAGACAGAGAGAGAGAGAGGTTTCTTCATTACCTGCCCATCCCCTTTCAAGTTGTGTAGGCAAGGAAAGCTATGAAAACACTCCTGCTTTGTCTCATTCATGACTGCATCCCCAGTGTCTGGGAAAGAGCCTGGCAGAATGATGACTACCAATACATATTTGGAGAATTTCTGTGTTAAGTCCTGCCCTCCAGAAGCCTATAACCAGGCAGTCCCTCTCAATCTCTCCCACAGTGAGTCTTCAGTTCAGCAAGCAAATGTATCTTGTCTTTAGTGGATCAGAGAGCTGACGCATATCTTAACTGTCAGTCCTCCCAACCCCAGTTTCCTCTGCATCAATGAGGACGTGGCATCAGAAGCAAGAATCACCGCACTCACTCTTCACTCTCAACTGAGTCATTCATATCTACACCCCACACATGCACACTCACCATGGCAACCACTGGCCCTGAGTGCATGTATTTCACCAGGCCCGTAAAGAATGGGCGGTCCTTCAGGTCGATGTAGTGTTCCTTGAGAAGGTCTTCCGAAGCCTATTCCACAAGACAGAGAATGAGAATTGGCCCCAAAACTACGAACCAGTGGCTACTTCCCACTACCCATCCTGCAGTTTAAAACATGAGCTCTCAGCTCATTAATTCTGTTATAACCCAATTCATTCTCAACAGTACCAGAGGGGAGCAGTGACCAGGACTAAAAGTGCTTCAGCGTTGTTCAATTCTCCCCCTACTGTCCTTGTCAGATTAGAATAAAACTACAGCCCTAACCTGTTTGGCTCAGTGGATAGAGCGTCAGCCTGTGGACTGAAGGGTCCCAGGTTCGATTCTGGTCAAGGGCATGTACCTTGGTTGCGGGCATATCCCCAGTGGGGGATTCTTGGAGGCAGCTGATCGATGTTTCTCTCTCATCGATGTTTCTAACTGTCTTTCCCTCTCCCTTCCTCTCTGTAAAAATATCAATAAAATATATTTAAAAAAAACAAACTACAGAATATTAGATTCATATCCAGCCATCTCATTTTAGACAAAATCTAACAATGCAAATTTTCCCTCACCTCCCTTCTCCACATCAGATTCAGATAACCCAGTAGACTCATGGCAGCTACGCCTCCTCCTACTCTTCACCAAGCCCATACCCTTATTAGGAAGCTGGACAGGAGAAAATATATGCATTTAGGAGTCAGAGAAGCCCGAGTTAAATTCCAGCTGCATCACTGACTGTGCTTTCAGCCGCATGACTTAACCTTCAAGTCTCAGGTTCCTCGTCACTAACAACCACAGGAATAAGAGTAAGTACCTCTCAGGGTTGTCATGAGGGCTGGGTGAGAAAACCCATGTGCCCAGCACATGGTAAATGTCCGATCAACAATACTTTGATTTCACTTGACCTTCAAACCTAACATAATATGCAAACTCTCTGGAAAGCATTGCTTGTCCAGTGCTTGGCTCTCATCATTGTATCTTGCTCTCCCCTCAGCATTAACATCAGTCTATTCCCTCTAATATTAAAGCAGTTTCTCTAAACATCACATAGGAACTAAATTGCAAATCAAACTAAAATTGAGATGCACTACAGAGTCCAAAGTGGACTCTTTAATAGAAAAAAAGATTGTCCCCTAACACTTTTTTTGAGAGTGTGAAGTCTCCTTTCCCAGGTTTGTTTGAGGAAGGGTTCTTGGCCAATCAATCTTGTGCATTTTTTGAAATATTGCTTTGCAGGTGTTTTAAAATATTGCCGTTTCAGGTGGGATCCCCAATGGCAAAACCTACTCCCGCCCCCCGCAACATGTCCCAATGGTGGATGATGCCTAATATTTGGGAGACGCTAAGTGTGTGGTAAATGATGGAAAGATTTCCTTGGTGAAAACTACCTCCATCAAAAGAGAGAAAAAAAAATCTCTAAACTTATCTGCTCAGGAAACTCAAGAGCAGAGCTCAAACATGCCCAGAGCTTTGAGCCAGAAATCACAGTCCTGCAGTAAAGATGGAACTCTGCATCGCTAAGCAAAGGGGGGGCTATTCTCTAAAGTCCCAAATAACTCGGTTTGTTTCAAGACCCAAGGTGCTAGGTCACCGAAGAGTTCCCAGGTTCCAGAACATTTGTGTTGACCTTACATGGAGGAGCCTACGAAGAGGGGGAGGGGAGAAAGAGAGACTAACCCACCACGCTCCCCTCTCCCACAAAAGCACAGAAATGCGAAGAAGGAAGTCCACTCACCTGCATGAATTTCATAGCAACAAGGCGGAATCCCTTCTGCTCAAAACGCTTGATGATCTCTCCCACAAGCTGGCGCTGGACGCCATCAGGCTTGATGGCAATGAAGGTGCGCTCGCTGTTGGCCATGGTCCTGGGGACAGACAAGTGGAACAGCGCTGGACAGGGAAACAGCAGTGGCCATCCTGCCTACAGCGTTCTCCTTCTCAAGCAGATCACCCCATAAATCTGGCTTACATCTGGCATGACTCCAAGGCTCTCTAGTAAAAACCCAGTTCCTCCTCGGTCCTCTCATGTATGAGCTAATATTCCAGAGTGCAAAAGCAGGAGCTATCATTGTTACCCCATTTTATTTAATACACTTACATTAAGCGTCTACCGTGCCCCATACTGTGGCAGAACTAAGGTAGGAGATGTAAAAAAAAAAAAAAAAAAAAGACACTATCTTTCTCAGTTATCCCGATGAGGCAAAATGACACTGATCGTGTGAAAGTGACCTCTGGTACAGGGCATATGAAATACGGTTTGACCTACTTAACACATCATGGCATTAGAACTGGAAGGAGTTTTAAAGATTATTTTCATCTCAATCCCCTTCACTGTACAGACGAGGGAACAGATCTAGAGCACCAGAACGAGGGCTAAATCCAGATTTTCCCATCCCTATGCAATTTATGCTACATCATAAGATGTGATGAATGCTCTGACTAACCAACAAACTGGATTGTGGGAGAACCTGAACCATTCGTAATACTATCTGATATGGGGCATCTGCTGGAAGGAAGCCTAGAAAGCACCTATTCCAGATCTTTCCTTTTACAGAGAAGATTCGAGACCGACTCTGCCTCCGCAAGATGAGGAAAGAGGCCCCTCACCTTGGCTGACAATCCCTAATGCGGATAACAGCCACCTCCTGGCTCTATCTTCCTGCACCTGAGTTAACCTCCTAATACAGCACCTTAACAATACACTTGAATCTTATGTTTGTGTGTCTGTCTTCCCCGGTGGTCTGTGGTCTGTTCCTGGCACCTAGCCAGGGCCTAGCACTAAATAAATGAAAAAAAAAAAAAAAAAGTCTTAAATGATAATCACCGTGCCCCTCCAAGAAAAAGAGACAAAGTGCAATGACTGGAGAAAGCTCGAGACAAGCATGGATTCACCGGGAGAAAATGTGGCTGAAGAGGCAGAAATAGTCCCTATAGAAGTCCCTCCACGCCCACCCGGACACACCCCTGCCATTCATTCTGCAATCGCGTACTAGAGCGCCAGTTCCGAGACCAGGGACAAGGCACAGCTCCTGTAGTCGCGGCCTGATGGGAAAGGCAGCCACGAGCCACCGACAAAGGCGAGTCCACGTGGCGTGGGCCGTGCGCTGACAGGTTTGCACCTGCCCACCGGCGCTGCCCCACCCTTCTTCCCAGTCCGATCCCCTGGCCACCTCTCAGATCTCATAGGACCCCTGCACCTCCCCGCTCCCCCGCCCCATTGCTCTCCCTTCCTCTCATGACCCTGAACCCTTCTCACCCTTCCAGCTGTTGGAGCTCCTACTCCGCCGCGGGTCCTCCGCACCGGAAACGCGCCCCGGCCCCACGTGGTTGCCGGCACGCGCACGCGCGGAACCCTTCTGCTCAAATCTGCTACCGGGGAGCCCATTTTACGGAACACCACTTGCCCACGGCTCTTCCGGTGAGTCGGTTGTCATTCTAGGGAGAACTTTCCGATCTTTAACTTCCGGCACTGCTTTTTCATGCTCTTCCTGCAGACCGCCGCCATCTTTTTTTTCTTTCTTTCTTTTTTTTTTTTTAAGATTCTGTGACTCGCTTCCTGCTTTCTGGAGCGAATTGGCTTCCCGCGAGGTGGCGCTCATACATTGCGTGAAGTCGACGCGCGCCTGACTCGGAGGTAGACACGCTTTCTTGCTTTAGGTTACTCAACTTTTCCGGTCTGTCAAACAAGAACTTCTTTATTGAGCACCTACTGTGTGCCTGGCACTGTTCTAGAGCCTGCGGGGGATAGCAGTAACTCTCCTGGTACTGCTGGTGGCGTTGGGAATGGAGGCAAACAATAAAGAAATGGATATGGCATTATGTACATTCTATTTAAAAAAACGAACAACGGAGCGGACGGTGGGCGGCTGAAGGATTTAACTGCATATTTTAAAAGGTTGGTTGAGGAAATCTCTCTCTGAGGAGAAGAGATGTGCGTAGATGAGGGGGCAGGTTGGGTGGTCATCTGAGAGATGCGTTTTGTTTGTTTTGAATGCATTTTAGGGAGGGAGGCAGAAACATTAACGATGCGAGTGAATCGCTGACCGGCTGCCGCCTGCACGCCCCGCACTGGGGACCGAGCCCGCAACCCGGGATCGAACCCGGGACCCTTTGGGCCACAGGCCGAGGCTCTATCCACTGAGCCAGACCGGCTAAGGCAGTTTGCTGCTTTCAGTACTGCTGGTTGATAGACTACAAGACCGGGTCCTAGAGCCAGGTTCTTTTTTTTCCTTTTTTTAGGACTAGTTTATTGATTTTTAGAGAGAGAAGTTAGCGTGGATCCCGGGATGGAGCCAGAAGCCTTTTGGAACACAGGCCGCGCCCAACCCCCTGGGCCTCGCCCACCTGCGGAGCCAGGTTCTTTTTATTTTTTATTTTTTTTATATTGTTCCAGGTTCTTTTAAATGCTGATCCGGGTGAGGGAGGGCTTGCCCAGGCAGGTGCAGGAGAAGGAGGATGAGCTGTAGATACGGGAAGGTCTCCTCTCTTCCTGGAAGCCCTCCTAATTAGACGACTCCACCCTAACCTTCCTTTCCCGGCCAGGCTGCCCCTGGTAAACGTTTCTGCAAACTAAATCAGACAACATTAAGAATTTAGAGCTAAAAGTCATCTTCTTAAACACTTTTTATTTATTGATTTGAGAGAGAGAGGAAGGGAGAGAGGGAGAGAGAGAGAGGGGAGGAGAGAGAGAGAAACATCAATTTGTTGTTCCTCTTATTTAGGTATTCATTGGTTGACCCCTGTTTGCGGCCTGACCTGGGATCGAATCCACAACCCCGGCTTCTAGGAAGGACACTCTAACCAACTGAACTGCTCAGCCCGGGCTACAGCTAAAAGTAATCGCAATGGGCATATGGACCAGTCCCTCTCCAGAAATCCTAGGAAGGGGTTTCTACCTCTGCTTGGAAGCTCCTCAAACATCAGATCACTGGCCTTCCACCCATCCTTTGCTAAAAAACAATTAAGCAAACTGCTAGTCAAATGTATTCATCTTCAAAAATAATAATGAGTACTGGCCCTAACCGGTTTGGTTCAGTGGATAGAGTGTCGGCCTGAGGACTGAGGGTCCCGGGTTCGATTCCGGTCAAGGGCATGTAACTTGGTTGCAGGCACATCCCCAGTAGGGGGTGTGCAGGAGGCAGCTGATCGATATTTCTTTTCTTTTTTTTTTAAATATGTTTTATTGATTTTTACAGAGAAGAAGGGAGAGGGATAGAGAGCTAGAAACACCGATGAGAGAGAAACATCGATCAGCTGCCTCCTGCACACTCCCCACCAGGAATGTGCCCGCAACCAAGGCACATGCCCTGGACCGGATTCGAACCTGGGACACTTGAGTCCGCAGGCCGACGCTCTGTCCGCTGAGCCAAACCGGCCAGGGCTGATGGACGTTTCTAACTCTCTATCCCTCTCCCTTCCTCTCTGTAAAAAATCAATAAAATATATTTAAAGTAATAATAATGAGTACTGTTTAAATTCTTTTTTTTCTTTTTTTTTTTTTTTTTTGAGAGAGAGAGAGAGAGAGGAAGGGAAAGAGAAAGGAACGTGGATTTGTTGTTCCGCTTACTTATGCATTCATTGGTTGCTTCTTGTATGTGCCCGCTGGGGATCGAACTTCCAAGCTTGGTGTATTGGGACGATGCTGTAACCGAGCTACCCAGCCAAGGCCAATAATGAGAAATGTTTAGGGAACTGCTCTAAGATATCAACTATTTAAAGAGAGGAAGAGTGGTCACTGGGCTGTGTGGATAGAGTATGAAGAAGATTTTACTTAGTATAGAGGAGTAGGATTTCGACATACAAAAATAAGATGGTAAATAGGTAAGTCCGTAGGTATCACGAGACCAGAAAAATAGCCAAGAGCAAAAAATGGAAAGTAAGCAGGGAAAGTTGGGAATGTCTGAGAAACTGATTAGACGCTCCTACAAGAGTACTGCTAACCCGTGAGGGATGAACCACCAGATTAGTGACAAACTTCAAATGCTAGTCGAAAAAGTTGAGACCCTGGGCTGTAGTTAATGGCAAGTCACTGGAGTTTGGGGGATAGGACAGTGACATGAGAAACATCTTAAAGTTCTAGAACTCAAAAAAACTGTTGAAACTATTTACCGACTGCTTCCTCGCTGGGCGCTGGCGCTGTCTACTCAGGGTCTAGGGCAGCGGTTCTCAACCTGTGGGTCGCGACCCCTTTGGGGGTCGAACAACCCTTTCACAGGGGTTGCCTAAGACCATCGGAAAACACATATATAATTACATATTGGTTTTGTGGTTAATCACTATGCTTTAATTATGTTCAATTTGTAACAATGAAATTGGGGGTCACCACAACATGAAGAACTGTATTAAAGGGTCACGGCATTAGGAAGGTTGAGAACCACTGCTCTAGGACCTTTCTGTATGAGGTGACCACCAGGTCCTTGACTCACCCAGGAAAGATTTAAGGAAGAATTGGAGTAAGAATAAAGCAGGTTTTATTCAGGTAGAGAAAAACAAAGAGGGCAGGGCTCAGCGCGGGCGCCTCTGTGAAAGAAGCTGAAAGTACAAAAGTATGCGTCCCCGTGAACTAGGGCCAATGCCAGGGAAAGTTGTGGGCGTGGTCAGTTAGTCCTTGGGATTTTATGCATTTCCAAGGGTAAGGGGGGCTGTCTCCTCGCTTTGTGGCACCAAATTCTGACCCGCCTTCTGATTGGGAGGGGGCCTGGTTGTGACTTTCCTTCTATTAACTGTTTTATCTTTGATTCTGCTGGGAGGTGGGGGCTCTGGTGGCAGGCTGTGAGCTCCTACTTCCTTATTCCCCTTGTCGGGATTTTCCCCTAACTTCTTTCTCTCCTGCCTCAAAGCCATTTAATTCCCTCACTTTACAGAGATACAAACAGACCAAAAGATATGACCCAGTTTATTCAAGGTAATACTGGTATGGAGAGCTTTGTTTTAGACAGTAGAAAATCAAGTTATATTCCAGAGGGCAGATAGATTGCACAAGGAGAGGCTGGAAGCAGACACCCATTAGGAGGATGTTGACATCATCAATAATCAAGGTATGAAGATAACAGCTCTTCTGGATTAAAATGGTCAAAGGAGTGTTTATAATAGAACTAGAGGCCCAGTGCATGCATTTCTGCAGGGAGAGGGGACCCTCAGCCTGGCCTGCGCCCTCTCGCAATCCGGGACCCCTCGGAGGATGTAGCAGTGTGCGAAGTGGCAGGTGGCCAGGGAGGAGCCTGAGCCAGGTTGGACACCACCCAGCTCAGCTCTCAGGGGCTCTCGCCGCTCTCCCCTGTCTTGCAGTGCTCTCACTGCTCTCTCACCCCTCTCGCTGCTCCTTAGCGTTGCCGGGGAGGCAGAGAGGTTCCTGCCACCACTCCTGTGCTCTCCAGCCGTGAGCCCAGCTTCTGGCTGAGCAGTGCTCCCGCTGTGAGAGTGCAGTGACCACCAGGGGGCAGCTCCTGCGTTGAGCATCTGTCCCCTGGTGGTCAGTGCATGTCATAGCGCCCGGTCATTCCAGTTGTTCGTAATGGTCGCTTAGGCTTTTATATGCATAGTTTACTAGGATGAATGACAAGATTTGGGAGTTGATTAGATATAATGAACAAGGGATAGAGAGGACCTATATCATAGCAATAGTTAGAGTATGGCTCTGTTTTCAAAGGATGGGGGTTGATTCTGGGCTCAGTTACTTATTAATTGAACAAGTTACTCAGCCATCACTAAGCCTGAGTTTCTATATTTGCTAAATGGGAGTAATAGTGTCACCATGATTGTTGTGGATTGGCCAGCTGGCTCAGTGGTTAAGCGTTGACCTATGAACGAGGAGGTCATGGTTCTATTCCCAGTCAGGGCAACATGCCCGGGTTTTGGGCTCAATCCCCAGCACGGCACATGCGGGAGGCAGCCAATCAATGATTATCATCATTTGCTGGGGTGTTATCCTGCATCTACTAGGGTTCAGGAATCTGGAGAAGGGGCTGCAAGTAAATCAAATAAACTAGACATGAAATTTGGAAGGCATTAGTTGGGGGGAGCCAGATGGAGCTCAGTTTTAGTAACTAAGTTCCCCGAATCTCTGGACCCCTAGCTTTTTAGTAACACATTTTGCCCTAGAGCAAGGCAGATATACATATCAAAGGTAAGGTTTGGTCAGGTTTGGGGAACTGCCTTCAGCTGTTCCAGCAGCAAGTAATAACATGCAGATTTTCAGCCCTGCAGAAGCCTCAAGGTTCATCAACCTTTTGATGAACTTATTCCATAATTGTGACATGCTGGAATTCGCCTCCAGTTATCATTGATGTTTCTATATCTCTCTTCCCCTCTAAAATTAATAAAAAAAATTTTTAAAAAATTATTGTGGAGATTATATAAAGTAATCCAATAAAAATTGTTTTAATTTTTTTTAAATATGTTTTTATTGATTTCAGAAAGGAAGGGAGAGGGAGAGAAATAGAAACATCAATGATGAGAGAGAATCACTGATCGGCTGCCTATGCACTCCCCCTACTGGAGATCGAGCCCACAACCAGGGCATGTACCCTTAACTGGAATTGAACCCAGGGCCCTTCAGTCCGCAGGCCGATGCTCTATTCACTGAGCAAAACCAGCTAGGGCTGTTTTAATTTCTTACTTATTGATTTGAAAGAGAGAGAGAGGAAGGATAAGAGAAACATCAATTGTTGTTCCACTTATGTATGCATTCTTTGGTTGCTTCTTGTATGTGCCCTGACTAAGGATCCAACCACAATCTGGGCATGTCAGGATGATGCTCTAACCAACTGAGCTACCAAGCCAGGGAATCCAATAAAAATTTAACAGTGTCGCCGAAACCGGTTTGGCTCAGTGGATAGAGCGTCGGCCTGCGGACTGAAGGGTCCCGGATTCGATTCCGGTCAAGGGCATGTACCTGGGTTGCGGGCACATCCCCAGTGTGGGATGTGCAGGAGGCAGCTGATCGATGTTTCTAACTCTCTATCTCTCTCCTTTCCTCTCTGTAAAAAAATCAATAAAATATTAAAAAACAAAATTTAACAGTGTCTGGCACACAGTAAACAATAAGTGTCAGTTCTTTGGGTGTTTTTTTTTTAGATTTTGGTAACAAAATTTTATACCTAATAAACTGTAACAATAACGATATTAACAGAAATAAGGAGACCAGAGGGTGCCAGCCAGAAGGAGATGAATTTGGTGTCATGTTGACTCTGATGGTGGGTGATACAAGAGAGAAAATGTATAGTAATCAATTGAAGGTACTTATTTTGGAGTCAGATGATACGCTAGGCCTATGTACAGAGAAGTGGGAATTATCTGCATAAAGGTGATCTCTAGGTCATCTAAACAGTATTTTAAAAGGAGCAATAATTACCATTCATTTGTTACACATAAATTAATAATAATAGTTAAAGTTTATTGCAAGATTGGTTTGTGCCAGGCAAAAAGTACTTTACTTATCCCTGGCCGGGAAGCTCAGTTGGTTAGAGCGTCATCCAATATACCAAGGTTGCGGGTTCGATCTCTGGTCAGGATACATACAAGACGCCACCAATGAATGCATAACTAAGTAGAACAATAGATCAATTTTTCTCCCTTTCTCCCTTACTTTCTCTAAAATCAATTTTTTAAAATGTAAGTCCTTTACCTGTAATAACTTACTTAATCTGCACAACTACTTAATGAGGTAAACCCCACTATAATCCACATTTTTAGTTGGGGAAACTGAGATTCACGCAGAGTGAGTGACTTGCCAAGGTTCAGACACCTGGAAGAGGTAGAAAGCCAATCCCTGCAATGCCAGAGCCTGAGCTCTAAACCCCGTGTGCTGCTTGACTGTGTGAGTGCTTTATTCTTAGGGCTCACTTCTGTGAGGGAATCACCGTGAGTGCAAGCAAATTATAATGAGAGACCAGCAAGACAGCTAGCTCGAATACCCTGCAAAGAATAGAATTGATTCAGGTCATGACTGTCCTGTTATTAATTATTTAAGGAATCAGAGCAACTAATGCAATATGCCCACATGTGAGAAACAGAAAGGCACCTTGGGATGCAGGGCAAAGAGAGAACATTCATAATAGTAATTGGGAATGAGCCCCCAG